GGTCGCGGTTATTTCCCCCCGGAGACAGCAAGGGCGGCCTCACAAACGTCGTGACCGTTCCTGTGAGCCTCGAGTTAGTTCTAGGCAATGCCACGTCATAAAGCTGAATTTTGGAGCTGGTGTCACAAAGACTTTGACCGACTACCTTCGAGGGTAATGGAAACGGCGTCGAATTCTGTGGTCTCAGGCATTCCCATGCTAACATAGCCTCCAATTTCATCCCCTGTTGCGAAAGTCTTCGGTAGTGATGGATTATCGAAGTGCTCCAAGGTGATGGTGAGAGTGACTTCTGTCGGCTGAGAAGGGGTAGCGGACTGAGCTTTGCCGAAGACTGACTTTGAAATGTTTGCGAAAGTGTACATGGTGCCAAAGGTCTAATCATCTTTTGACGAGGATCCTTTTCGACCATGTATATGGGGCAGAGGTTTTAGAACTAAGGGTTGATTCTTGAGTGGTTCTACATGCTTTTCTCAGTTCGCTTGGTGGGCCAATCTGACCGAGCTGCAGCGGCATCTAGCCTCGGCCGACCGCTGCCAGCAGTGACCTCCTATCCCAAATGACCAACTATTCCCAATAGTTGGCCTGGTGCTCCGGCTAGGCACGGCCAAGTCGTCGTTTTTCTTGAGAAGGAAGATGGGGTTTTGGCGACATTGGTGAGAAAGCATCTGATCGGCGAGAATCTTGCGCGCCGCTTTGGGCAGAATGGAACAAAAAGTGAAGCAAAGAATTCCTTTACGCCTCTAAAAATAGGACACTACCCTATAGATACCTTGATCATGGGTGCAGAGTCGGGTGATAATGTGGGAAGGTGTTTTCGGAGCGGGAAGAGAACCCCTCGGCATGGGCAAACTCCCCTCACTTTGTACACTGTCGTTTCACTCGCGACCTTAACACTTTCTTATACATGCGGTTCACCCCCACTTGACGTTCTCGTGTACTATATATGAGCAGTTTTTCCTCTATATAACTCCAACAACATTCGGAATCCGACACACTGAATGCATGATGCCGTTTCCTAAGGGCCTTACAAGCCCTCCGTCTCCGGCTTCCTCTCGGAACAGTGAGCCGTCGTCATGGGTGGCGAATGTAGCGGCCTCCCAAGGGCTCAACGCAAAAATCACCATCGTATCCTTCCACGGCCTCTTCCGCAACCTTGCGGCTGCGAAATTGATGATGAGCCAGTAGGTGTTCTCTAGCTCCTCATTCCCATTGTCTACAATTTGCGTACCCCAGACGCGTCGCACCCCTCAAGGTTCGACGCCAGAAAATGCTGACTCATGGCGAATTACTGCAGGGCATGTCGCCATGACGGGATATTCTACCTCGACATGACTGGCGAAGATGCTAGGACGCCACTGGACGAGCTCAGCATCGCGAAGTTTTTGGAAAATTCGAAAGAGCTGCATGCCCTCTCTGATGTGGAAAAGCTGGGCTTCGAGCTTGACAATATCTTGCCGCTTGGCACAACAGGGTGAGGTCTCTCATCCACCAGCTAGATCAACACGACTCATCTTAAGAGGCGTTGGCTCAAGATCTCCATAGGTACAAAGCCGCTGGCAAGTTCCACGGGGTTTTGGCCGGAGACTACCCCCTCGAAGAAGATTGGCTCGTACTTTTCCCGAGCCCCCTTACAATTGAATGTCCCTAACACTTGTCCGCAACAGATCACCGGCAACGCAGTCGACGACCCCGCACATTTCCGCGCCCATCTGCCACCTCCCCTCTTCGACAAGCTCTTCGACTTCTATGCCATAGCGCGCTTCCACTTCATCGGTCTGAGCCTCCTCGATCACCTCGCCGTCGCCCTCTCGAGCAAGGACCTTCGAGCCGCTCACACCGATGGCCACTCAAACATGTCATCCTTCATTCTCACAAAATGCATTGCCACGACCCAAAGCCCAGCTGATAACGTGGAAGCCCACACCGACCCCGGGACCCTCTTAATCCTCTTCAATCCGCCACCGTCCCTACATCTCTTCCGGCCAGCCGATCCCCGACAGCCGACATCTAAGCCTAGATACATCCCCATCAGTCCTCCGGCGGGTTCGGCAGCTGTCGTTGTAGGCGACGCCCTCAGCTTCTTATCTCGAGGCCGGCTGCAGGCCGCGCGGATGGCCATGGTATCTGCAAAAGGTATGGACAATGTGGAAGAGTGGCACTCGGTGGCCTACCGTCTGGGCCCGGATGAGAAGGCGACGCTGGTAGACTTGAAGAAGGTGAAGTGGCCGGCGTGCGACTGGCATGCTGCGAGGATGGGGGTGGAGGCGGAGGCGGAGGCGGATGAGACTCTATAACGTCATGGCGGAGACGTTCGAGCGCATTATGGTGCAGCGACTTATGGTGCAGCGAGATGGAATGTTCTTCTTGTCCGGCTCGTCCATTGATTTACCCAAAGTCGCGAAGCAGAGGAACTTTTTTTCCCACCAAGTGATCGAGAACGCTTAGAAAAATACGCTTGATCTGACTCTCGGCAAGGTCGGATCATGACTCAAGCAGCGTTTTGACACCTACAAACGTAACTCGGGGTACCAGCTTCGACTGGCCCCTTTCTATGACAAGTCCCTCAACCTCTCCAGTCAATGCCAGCCACTTCATTCAATCACCTTCTATACCCTTTCATCCTCTCAGCAGTCATCGCTCACCAAACCACGGCCTAGCCTCACCCGCCTTCTCACGCACCCCACGGGCGTCAGACTAGGATCTTTCCTCTAAGATCGTACACCGCTGACACATTCAACTTTACTAATCAAGGCAATATGGAGAGCAGAATGGCTGATCAGGCGGAAACCCACGCACAACAAGTGATAGAGGTGACCTTCGATGCCGCATTATCGTGACGCCGTATCACGATGTCAAATGCCCGCGTTGCTCCAGTACGGACAATTCGTGGCCCACACATAGTCATAGCCCCCAGTCAAGGAGATTCCTACGCAGACATGATGCCCGAAGAGAGACATGGAAAACAGTGATATTTGAAAACGCCCCTAGTAACCCAGTCGGAAAACAGAACCCCAATCCGACCTAGCATCTTCTTATGCAGCGTCGTCTTTGAAGATCTATAACAAACTCAGACCACAAGCCCGTGAGGCAGAAAAATGCAATCACCCTTCTCATCCATCTCCGAAATCAGGTCGCCTTCCCCATCACCATCCCACCGGCTCTCCACATCCTCCATCAATCCCCACCCCCCACACCCAACCCCCCCGCCGCCCCATCCACCCCCACTCAACCACCGCCGATACTCCCACCCCATCCCTTCAACATCCCCTCAGCAGCCTTAGCCCACCCCAGCAGCAAACCCCGTACCATCAACCCAACACCCCTCATCCACCCACCTCACCCAACCGCACAACCTCGCCTCCTCCCCCCCCAGCCCTCGCCAAAAATGCCCCCGCTCCGCGCACAGTCGTAGCTAGACGCAAGCTCGCCTCAACTCAGCAAGCCCGTGGATAACCGCAAACGGACACGGACGCGCTCCTTGACGCACCAACTCGGCGGCATCGTCGCTTGATACCGTAGCTGAGAATGGGCGCCACGGAAGTAGAGGAGGTTGTGTTTGAGGCGCCGAGCTTCGTCTTGTATGTAGGGAGGTTTCTATCAGGGCATTTCTTTGCGGGAAAGGGTGGGGGGGGGGATTGCGGGGTGGATGACGGGTTTCGAGTGGAGGTGGAGGTGGATGGATGGATGGATGGGATTGGGTGAGGGGGTTTAGAGGGGGTATGGGGAGGGAGGGGGGGGGGGGGGAGAGGGGGGGGGGGGGGGGGGAGGGGGGGGGGGGGGGGGGGAGGGGAGGGGAGGGGAGGGGGGGGGGTTGGAGATGGTGGATTTGGGTTGATTTGGTTTGATTTGCTTCGAGTGGCTAAGATATGATATGAGATGATGTGATACGATATGATATGGGCGACGACTACTACTAGTACCAACCAATCTCCCATCCATTCATCCATCCATCCATCCATCCATCCATCTTCCTCCCTCCCTCCCTTCCCCCCTTCCCTCCTACTCTACCAGATCTCCCTCATACATACATACACACATACACACATACATACACTTCAGCAAGGGTCAAGCCAAAACGCCGACCGAGCCTAAAACGCGCCGCTCCTCCTCCCCTCCCCAGAAACAAAGAAAGGGAAAAAAAAGAAGGAAAAAGAAGGAAAAAGAAAAGAAAGGAGAAGAAAAGAAAAGAAAAGAAAAGAAAGGAAAAGAAAAGAAAAGAAAAGAAAAGAAAAGAAACCGACGCAGCACATACATATAACCGAAAAAAAACCTAACCCGCACTTTCTGAACCGAAATATTCTTAGATGCTAATTCCTACGTAGAAGGACAGAGTACCTAAATACCTTACACGACTCATATCTAGCGTTACAATATCCAAACTCCATCCACGTGTTTCCAAAATACAACCCAGCAAAGCGCCCCAATCATCCAGCCCATACCTTGTCGAGTAACGGACGGGATCGGATGATATACCGTTCATCCATCCATCCATCCATCTATCCATCCATCCAGCGAAAATGACCGCCAGCCACAGCCGAGTTCAACAGGGCAAGATGCGCAAGTTCACGTGCGATTATTGCAGAGATGGAGCAAGATGCCTTTTTTTTTTTCGTTTGCGAAGCCAGGGCTTCGAGCCACTGGTGATACAGGTCCGGGAAGAAGTAAAGTATAGATGCACAAACATCGCCAAGGTGGCGAGCAGAGATCCGCATCGTAAAGGCAAGTCCCAAAAGCGGTACACAGCCCGACGACCAGGGATCTAGATGGCGAAACTCGTGTAAAATTTCCGCCTGCTGCGAGTTCTTCGGAGAGCAAGGTATCGTTGTCCAAAACTTTTGGCCAGCAGCGAAGCCACCACGCCGAAACGCCAAGAGATTGGATACAATCCACCGTTTGAGAACGTACATTTCATCACTGTTTCCAGTAACCCAACCAGAAACCCCCCCCTGGATGTTCACTGTGCGGCCCACATTCCCAAGAAACCCTCTTTCAATGCGCCTTCAGGTCTGAGTCGACTCTGACCCTGCAGTGCTCGCATTTTCGGCAACAGTCAAGTTGCCTCTCTCGACGTAGATCTTTTCCTTTTGCGCTTGTGCAGCTTGCAAGCAGTCGATATAGGTTTTGAATTTGACGATCTCGTGCAATAGGTAAGACGACTTGCGCTCCCAATTCGCCATTGCTTTCGTACTGTTCGGGTGACGAGAAGAGAACTACGCAATTGTCAGTAAAGGTACTTTGTTCTAGGGTCGAACGTAGAAAATTTTACTCACTGCCAGTAGCATCGCCCCCCTCAGGTCATTGTGCTTCTGAAAGTCCTCCGTAATATTCTTAACATATGTGAGCAGCGCTTTGAGCTGATCCACCTCCATCAAGACACTGGCGACCATACTCTGTTGCGGTGGCGTCCAATCAGTAATCACGACTCTGTCTCCTGGCAGTCTTGGCTTGAAGTTTCCTTGATCGATCGAGCTTCTTGCACTTCGGATTGAACTCTGTAGACTCGGTCTAGGTCCTGAGCTGCCGGCGACCGAAAAGGATGCGTTCTTCTCAACATTCAAGAAGGAGGTATCAACGACGGACTCGCCCCAGCCGTACTCTATGTTACTTATACCGCCGACCATTGGCTCTTTTGATAGACGTGCGCTCCAGTAATTGGCTGTCATCACGAATTCTCTAACAATCTCTGGTGTGCCGACTTGGAAGAAATGGACCGCGCCTGTAGGCAACGTGAGTGCCCAGACATGAGGTCTGGTCTTTGAGTAACCAGGAGGTGGAAGGCCGCTGGCAATAGTCTGGCGAAGGAGGAAGGTGCCAAGAGTTTCGGCGCTGTCAGCCCAGTTACCCCCACCGACGACACCACCAGGAGCTCTTTGGTTTTTGGCTTTTTGACGGAGGGATTTGGCGTTCATGCTGAAAGAGAATAGGCGCAAATAGCCTTTTTCAATGACAGCGAAGCTCTCAACCCAGTTTCTATCCTTGGCTCTCTTATCGACGGACTCAAGATGATGCTTGTGCTTCAGGATGCCCTCTTTGGCCCATGGTGCACCCGCAAGTTCCAAGCTCTCGTCTTCGAGGAGCGGAGCAACGCGAAGGGTCTCTTCCTCACTCGCTGTACCCTCTTCACGTATAATAGCTTGGCTCAAAGCATTGGCGAATCCGATCGATTGTTGATAGTCGCCCTGCGGATAGTTCGATGCGAAAGAGTCCATAGAGATGGTTGTCTGAGTCTTGCCGAAAGATGAGAATTTGCTCCACGCACTAGTGACAGAAGGGCTTGTGACAGAAGACTGTTCATCCAAACTGGACCGTCGGCTGGAGGCTACGGTTCCTGAAGTGGAAGCCGGATAAAGGCGTGGCCTAGACCTATTCTTCGACTGCCATCTGCCTGTACCTAGCCGCTGCTCCGACCCTTGACGACCCCGGGTGTAGCTGACATTCTCGGAACCAGCTTTGCTGAGCATGCTAGGTGTGCGGCGGAGCATGCTATTGGTCATGGTGGAAAGACTATTTGATGTATGCGGTGTTTGCGAACCAGGCTCTGTAGTCTCGGTCCCATGGAGAGGTAATGGTTGTTGGCGAATGGAGACGTAGAAGTCCTTGAGAATAATCTCGATCTGATTCTCCCAGGTACTCTGTTTGCCGTGAAACCCAGTTCTTACGAATGGGCCACTGTCACCCTGAGAAGTCGCGTAGTCAAGCTGTGTAAATGGAGTCGAAGTGTAAACTGTATGGTCAGATGGTCGCTGCGACAGTTGATAGAGCGGCCTTTGGCCCTCGAATGATCGCCGTCCTTCGTGAGACGTCGGTGTCTTGCCGCTGGAGTGCAAAGAATCTACCCATGGTCGCGGAGGAGGAAGCGTAGAGGCACGGTTGTTGGTGAAAACGTCTGGAGCAGCATCGGACACTACACGACGGATGGTGGGTAGAATATTCTTCAGGAACTGCTGGCGCGTCATCTTTGTCTCAATCTCTGCCTGATGCAAGTCCGTGTTTAGCAGCAACACCGAGTAGCAGATCGTATGCACGACATCTGCGGTGCTGTTAGCTGAGCGACGCTAGACTTGCGGTCAGACATACCTGTAGCTTTGAACCCATGACTGGGATTGCAAGCACACCAGCGGTTAGAGAAGGCATCGAGGATTCGGTCTACCTGCTGAGCTTCGCCTTTCAGGTACAGCTTACCGCACAACCCCCGCAGAGCAGCGAGGATGTTAAGGTTCTGCCAGTCAAAGAGCTCCACATAGGCTTGTCGCACACGCATACGTTCTGGACCTGGTTCTCCAAGCCAAGCGGCTGCCGTTGGCTTGCTCGCCAAGCTTTCTTCACCGTCGTAGATTTGCTGGGCCTGCGCACGATCTGCCTCAGTCGGTTGGCTTGGATCGATTTCCACACTAAGCTTGTGCGCTGCATCCTCTGGCGTTGGCTCGGGGAAATGGATGTCATCGTTTGGCTTCGACGCGCTCTGAACCGAAGAAGCAGAATGATAGTCACTGACAGGAGAGACCTCAGCGCCGTCAGTGAACCTGGCGTCATCTAGCTTGGGTAGCTTTTGCTCAGGACTGTCAGGCTGCAGCCACACCCGCTGAGAGCGGTCAGACGTCTCTAAAGACCCTGGGGGGGACGAACGATTCTTGCTGGGTGTCATTTGCAATGGGGTGAGCCATTCCCTTGGTTCGGGCTTTGCAGGAGTTGCATGAGCAGCGCGTTGCGATACGGACGAATTGTTATTGCGTGTAGAAAGCATATTCCGATTCCTTGTAGAGTCGATCGATCGCTGATGCAGTGATTCAGCAGACTCCTTCGGCTTAGAGCGAGGTCGTGCATTCTCTCTGCGCGATGCCAAAGAGCTAGGGAAGCTCGTTGGTGGTTGATCGAGATTCACCGTACCTTGACGTGCGAGCTGAGGTTCACTAGCAGCTCCAGGTATCCTCGTCTCGTTGCTGCTGTCATCATGCAGAAAAGAACTGTCATGGGGTTTCGAGGACGTTCTGTCGTCAGGTGTGAGGTGGACTCTCTCGGCAAGGGCTTCCCGCCTTGACGTTGACATGTCTCGAACCTTGCTGAGAGGATGGTTGAATCCAGCATCATTCCCTAGATCATAATCTTGGTTGATGGGCTCAACCGACCCTTTGGCTTGTAGAGTATGAGTATGTGGAGTGGCAAAGTCGCCGCCGGTTGTACCTGCAAACTGTTGGGCGTTGGAACGCATCGGGTCGTCAAGGAAAGGATTCATGACTTGGCGTAGACTGCTCACAGGACTCTGCTCTATCGGGTCAGAGAGAGGTGGACGATGAGACCTCACGTTCAATGGAAGCAGTGGAGGTGGCATATCCTCAGACAAGGACTTTTTCCGCCGTCTGAAGAATGAAGAATGCTTTTTGGCTAGGGGTGGGTTGACGCTTTCGGGCAAGGCATGCAAAGGCTCCTCTGGTGCAGCTGGCTTAGAAAGCTTGTGGGGTGTTGCGAAGCCTTCTCGACTGTTTACTCTCGTATGACCCCGTAGTGGAGGGAAATGGGGTGCTTGAAGGTCGTTTGTTGCAGGCGCTGGGTCCTTTGATGATCCGAACATCCTTCTGAAGAATCCAGGCCGCTCTCTCGTAGAATCCTTCGATTGTATGGTCGAATGAGCCGTTGAGTCCTGTCTTTGGGCCACAAAAGGATCCGAATACTGTCTCACCGGGCTCGGGTTCCGCGACTTCAGGAACATGGGCATAGGACTGATCTGTTTTGAACCCCGCCTGGATGCTGCATATGCACTGCTATTTGGTGGCATGGGTGCGTCCCACGCAGCTGTATCGCCTTTCTTCTTCTTCGCTGGCTGACTTCTTGATGACGCCTTGCTGCTTCTCCGGTGATGTGTGGGGGCCTGTGGTTGTGCTTGAGGTGGGTATGCTGAGGCTCTGTCTTTCCGAGGCCCTCCAGGTACGGTAGGTGTTGGTGCAGCGTCAGAGTCGTCGTACATTACTGGGCGAGATCGACTACTTGGTAGTGGTGGTGCTTGTTGTGTTGTAGAGCTGGATGCCGAATGCACAATGCGAATCCTTTCTCCCTGATCGAAGCTTGCCGAACGCCGCCCAAGGGCATGTGGAAACCTTGACGGTCCTCCCATCTTGCCCAGATCTACACTTGATGAACCACTGCTCTTGCTGCTTTTCCTAGCACCTATTGACGCTGACTGGGTACGGAAGACCTTTTCTTTCGCGGTTTCACCTGCGTCGCCTTCCCCATGAACACTGTCTATTCGGCCGAGTCCGGATTGAAAGGTAGAGCTGCTGTGACTCCGGCGGCCTCGTGGGAGGTGAGCAGAATGTCGGTTTGGCGAGTCGTCCGAGGGAAATGTGAAGTCGGAATTGAAAGATGCGGAGTGTAGATGTCGGGGCGCACTGTTTGGCTGCGAGGTCGGATTGGAGCTTGCAGAGAATGGTGGGGGGCCGGTTGGCGGCGAAAAGGATTTGGGCTGGTCAGGATTGAGGGACATGAGCATGTTGTCCACCACCGAATGCCGGGTATTGTCTGTCAATGACAGATCATGCGAAATTCTCTCATCCCGAATGATTTCTTCTGCATGGCCCCTTGCATTATCCTCCATATGTGTCTCACGTGGCGCTCGATGCGCCTGCTTCGATGCACGCTTGGTCTTAATTTTATTTTTCGGTGTCTGAAGGGGCGGATCATTGGTTGTTGCGTTTGAGGCTGCAGATCTGACGCTCAGAGGTCGGGGAGCGTCTGCACGTCGCACGAAAGATGCTGGAGTATCTTTGCGGTTCATCATCGCGGCAAGCGAGGGAACTGCTGTCCTTTCAAGACGTCTACGACGTCGGCTCTTGAAACAAGACGGCCCATGGATGAGTGCACGGGCAGCAATGAGGCCCAGGATGCCAAACGGTGCTTCCGCCAAAGGCGAAAGCCCGCATCAACAATACTCCGTAATGGTGTGCTGATTTCCCGGTGCAGGCAAGCTCACTGTGCAGCTTTCCAGATTTCTGGATAAGCGTCGAGATTGGATTGGCTGAGGGTTGACGTGGGGTGGGTCAGATGGAGGAGGGGATAGGTGGGATGGGCGGTGGGAAAATTGGAGAGTTGCCGGACAGCTGCAGGAGGCGCAGGGATCTCCACAAGCACCATACCTAAGGTACTTAGGTACTTAGGTACTTTACTTTACTCTATGACTTCTTCTTGGGGTCTTGGGGACAGGCAAAACTACCTAGCTACAACCACAGCAGAAATCTCTACAGCTTCTACGAGTTCTCTCATATGACAACTTCTCAACCAATAGTGACAGCAAAGCGATCAATGTTAGTGGAAGAGTACTACGGAGTACCAGAGGGTCAAGGTTCTGTAGGTATGGCCAGCACTTGAGGCTTGAGCGCCACAGGTGTTTATGAAGCATATTTCCACTCTCCTTTTTGCTTTTCTACCTACTGCACACTGTGCAGAGGTTGAATGATAACTGATAATAATAGGATAGGGAAATATCATAGATGGGAAATATCATGGATGGATGCAAGCTTGTCAGAGGTAGCACACCTTCATCCCTCATCCCTCATGTTCGCCCCCAGAAGAAGAGAAGATTGCGAAACCCCTGGATCCTGCAGTTCCACCAGTTCTACAAGACGCTCGGGCCACCCTTGAGCTAGATAGGGACTAGCGTCAGGTACCCGTCAAAGTGCTTGGCTCTCAGAGTTCTTGGCGCTCTGCAGCCTTGTGGACAGGCAGCCAATGTGAGGTAGATATGCAGTCATTTGAAGAAAGATGATGGCAATTTTAAACGTGTCTTCGGTCAGAATTTGCCACATTGCTCCTTCATTTGTCAAGTTCCCAAAGCTGGAACCAGATTACAAATGGATGACTCTGTCTACCTAAGTTATGCTCCTCTTACTGTAAGTAACAAGGGACAACAGATTACGCTTATTATCCCTGCAAGGTGAATCGATCTGTGAATTGACCTACCTAGTCCAATCTATTCCATACTATTTCATATTTCATGCATGCGGATTGCGAATACAATGCATTATCATCTTGTTGGGCGGGCCAACTGCAAGATCGCTACATCATCTGCCATTGGTCAAAAGCTGAGTGCTACCGAGAATGGTGCCCTTGCCTTTCTTCTTTTCTCCCACCATTCCACAGGCTGCTTTTCGATCGGTTCTATTTGTATTGACCAAAGGAAGGACACCGAAAAAGGACATCAGATGGCTTTGAGGAAGGAAGTCTACACGCGGGCCGTGAAAAAGCATCGCTTGGCTGGCTAATTTAACACCAAATGTGCACCTGGCGTTGGACAATGTACAATCGATCGGTAAGAAGCGTCTAGCCGTCACAGCAGGACGACATTTAGCTGCGGGCAATGTCACACTGAGCTCTCATGGATTACCCGAGCGCGCGTTGCCCTTGTGATCCGGTTTCGGAGACTTCCATGATCGGCCATGGTTCACGCGTCTGTGGGTCATGCAGGAGGCGATCCTACCAGCTACTGTTGAGATCATGTGCGGTCAGTGGTCACAGGATATTGAGCTGGAGCGTTTTATCACCACTGAACGGATTCTTCGGATTCGCTGCCCTGCGATCACTGGTGATGCTGGGGAGATATTCGCTGCCTGCTGAATTCAGCACCGTTACTAGACATCACAGATGACAAAGAGAGGTACGATATTCATAAAGAAAGTCGAAAAGCATTCCTGAACTTCTTGACTTTGCTTCACGCGAACCAATCGATTTCGGCAACGGAAACGGAAGGTCCATCCTACGGCTTGCGCGGGCTGGCAGATCGTGAATTGCGAAAACAAATGTCAATCCACCATGGCGACACTCCAGTCGAAGCATATCAAATGTTTGCAAGGGCAGTACTGCTGTCCAGTCCGAGTCCAACCTTTCTCAATCTAGCTTCCTCGAAGCGGCCCATACCCGGTTCGCCATCATGGTGTCCAAATCTCAGCACAATGGCGTTTCGTTCTTGGCTTACCGCAATGGACAGACTGTACTCCCACTGGTGCACTATACGCGGCTGTTTGTAATGCTCAGACCCTGGGGAAATGCTGCACCTACAGTCCTAACAGTACGCACCCTGTTGGTGACCAGCCTCGCTGTCAAGGTTTAAGAGTATCTCGGTGGACTGTGTCGCCAAAGTCATTAGCCCAGCAGCTTTTCATCATCGTGAGCGCGAACCTACTCCCAGTGTGATAGAAGGCAGCTGAAGCGTTAGCATGGGAAGCCAATCGTCTTCACCTCTCGCAATCTGCGTATCGTGTGGACGATGGAACCGTGCCTGTTGCTTACTTTCGCACACTCATAGCAGCAAGGCGGACTTTCCAAACTCGTGAGCAGTACGAGAGAACGAATGGTTGTCTCGAGCAGCTGCCAGGTGAACAGCCTGAGGCAAAACTCACCTAAACACGCCGGCGCCGATAGTTACAACGAAGCGATAGATCTTGTTTGCCGTGGTCGTGCATTCTTCTCAACGGAGCAAGGGCGAACTAGTTTCGGTCCTCTGAACACATTGACAGGAGATCAATATTGCGTCTTCCACGCTCTTCCTACTACAACAAGCCGGGGCGTCTCCTCTCATCAAAGTCACCATTGGGGAATGGTATGCCGAAGACATTCTGCACGGTGAAGCGTTCAAGCAGCCGCCACTCAATGACGAGCTTTCTCAGTCGAACGAGGGTGCGACATGCACAGCGAAAGAGAAGCAACCGGAGACCGCGGTCGAAGGAATCGGGCAAACATGTCCAGCAGAAAACATCCTCTAGTGCATAAGATATTTGCGAACCAAGCATAAAAATCTATCCCTCATCCACCCAACCCATCACCCACGCCCAACCAGCGCCCCACGTAGCCTTTCATAAAACCCATCCCATCCCCTCCCCACCCCTCCCCCATCCCAACCTAAGCAAACGTATCATCCGGCCAGCACTTCTCCTTCGTCCACACCTTCTGATCATGCGTCTCGGCATGCACCTTCTTCTGCGTCTGATTCGACGCCACAATCTCCTTCATACAATACGCGCACTAAACGCCCCCACCACACCACCATCAGCACACCACCCGCCTCGTATCGTGGAAAACCCGGTCGGTTAACGTACCTTTGACATTGGCGTGGGCGCTTTGACGGGGTTGCCGTTGGCTTTGACGGGGGCGCGCGTCCCGGCCGCGTCGGCTTTCTTGTGCTCGCGGTTGATCTGTACGGTGGTGGTTAGCGGTGGGAGATCTGGGCTGTGGGGATCGATGGAGGGGGGGGGGGACGAACACGGTCTTTTTTTGAGATGGGCATGATTGCGGGAGGGGGGTCTGATGTGATCGATCGGGTGAGGGCGTCTGGTGAGGGGAAAAGGGTTATGCGGAAGTCCAAGAATGGTTGAGGAGATGTGAGATGGAAAAATGCTCGAAAGGTGAGTGATTAGGACCGCGGGTGTAAATTCGAAGCAGATAAGATTTCTGCACACAGCCCTGACGAAGAAGCCCTGAGCATTATCCTCATGAGCGGCTATGCGCTTAACTCCACCCACGGCGGCTAATTCTCGACGCCAAGCCCGCATTGTAAATATGCCCGTACTTCTAGAGCATCCCCATCTTGCCTACAGAGAGAAAGAAAAAGAAAGAGAATTCCACCATCCGCCGTCCCATCCCATCGTCGCAGTTTCCCAACCAGCGTTCGCGCAATACATACCATCTCCAATGAACCCGCACATCTCGATACCGCGACAGCATGGGGGAACGCCGAGCTTCGGGGGGACGACGCCCGCGGGTCGGTCGGAGGGGCTACGGATGCCGCGGTTCTTCAAGAGGTGCGTGCGATTTGGTTTGTTTGTTTGTTGGGGGAAGATGGGGTCGAAAGCTAGATGGAGACTTTCGACTGTGGGGGCGATGCTGTTGTGGTGCAAAGTTGGGCGGGCGGGTTGAGGAGAGAGAGAGAGAGAGAGAGAGAGAGAGAGAGAGAGAGAGAGAGAGTAGTAGAGCTGACGGCTCGCGACTGTCAGATTGTTCAAGTTCCCCCAGATGGATTTCGAGATGGCGACGTGGGAGATGACGAGTCTCCTGATCGCGCCCAAGAAGGTCTTCCGGTCCATCTACTATCACGTATATACCACCCATCGTCCCCCATCTCCCACGCAAAAGCCGTCGGCTAACAGTGGCCCCTTTCAGAAACGTGCGCCCGTCTCCACCCCCCCCCCTTCCCTTCCCTTCCAATCCCTAACGAACCCACGCGCGCAGAAACGAAAAACACATGGCACCGCCCCGATCCCTCCTTCACCTACCTGCTCTCCTTCTTCATGCTCCTCACCGGCATCGCATGGGGCATCGCCTACACGGACACGGTCGGCGCCACGGTGCGGCTCAGCCTGCTGTTCGTCTTCGTGCACTTCCTGGCCGTGTCGCTGCTGGTGGCGACGGCGGCGTTCTTTCTGGTGGGCCGGCTGCTCGGACCGGGCATTGCGGGCTTTCCGGGGAGGAGGAGACGGCAGGGGCTGTTTACGCAGGCGGGGGAGGGGGAACAGTTGGAATTTGGGTATTGTTTCGATGTGAGTGGCGGAGCGACTTGTGGGAATGGGGAGGAGGGTGGGGCAGGCTGACGGGGAGGGTGATGCAGGTCGCTATACGAGCGTTCTTTCCGGTCTGGGTATGGTTGTACGTCATGCAATTCATCCTTTGGCCGCTGATAGCGAGGGACAACTGGTAAGGGTCAAGACACCTGAGTTTTCGGATTCCATGGCTGACATTGCTCCTTTCTCAGGGTATCTATGTTCTTCGGAAACACTTTGTACCTAGTAGCGTTGGGCTACTATACCATCATCTGCTTCCTGGGATACAACGGTAAGTTCACAACCTGTCCCAACAGAACTGTCGACGGCTGACGTCAGCTATCAGCTCTACCTTTCCTTCACCACACCGAGCTCCTTCTCTCTCCCTGTTTTGTGTATGCTATACTTTGGTTCGCCAGCCTCTTCGGTTTCAACATAGCGAAGCACGTCGGTCCTCTGCTGATAACGGGGGCTGGATGATTTGGAGATGCCGATTCGTAATATTGTACAAAAGATCATGCGGCATTTAGCGAGGCATTTTGGGTGATGATAGCATAGACGAGCAAAATTGGATTCTGACAGCATGGGCTCGATCGGTGCGGGCGAGGCATTTATCTGCAACATTCAACCGGAATGAAAAGCCTTTGAGATTTCGTTGCATATCGGTTGATCAAAGCCCCTCAGCCTTTCGGTGGTTCCTTCGGTGGCAGCATCAAAACGTACTCTCTGGCCACAAGTTAGCAACACTCGTGCATCAAAACGTCCAAAATGGATCAACTAACCTTGTAGATTCACCCAAAGTCACGACATCGCCACTCCTGACCTCCACATATCTCCTCTCCGGCACTTTCTCCCCATTCACTCTCGTCCCGTTCGCACTGTCCAAGTCAATTACATAAGGCTTCACTCCACCCTTTTTCTCTCCCCACTCATCTTTCCTCTCCGTATACCTGAACTGCAGAACCGCATGCTGCTTACTGCAACTCGGATGCTCAGTCGGAAAATCCACCACCGCTCTCTCCCGTCCAAACAACCAGCAGGAGCGCTCGTGTAGAGACAATGTCTCGAGAAGATCCGAGCCTTTGAAGACGTAAAGACGCCAGGCGGAGGAAGAGGGGGGGAGGCGCGCTTCGGGTGGTTCGTTGTATTTGAGGACGATGGAGGTGTTGGCGACGGTGTTTGTTTCTGCGGCGAGTTTACCGGTGGGAGCATAGTTTGGCTTTTGTTTTTCGACCTCTTCGGGTGCTTTGACGACGGCGTCGGAGGTTGGATCCTTCTTGAAGGCTGCTTGTTGAGAGGGGAGCGGACCATTCGAGCGCTTCGAGGCTGGTGGAGGAGTGGGTGAGCGGCGACGGGGAGGAGGGGATTTACGTCGCTCGGCATGGTAGCTGGAGTACCTGCGACCGTCTCGAGAGTCATGACGCCTCCGCTTCGGCGGAGGAGAGCGAGATGCGCTGTGGTCACGCTTTGAAAGTTTGCGATCGTCTCGAGAGCTTCGAGGGTGGTGGGGCGGCGATCTGCTGCTGGACGCATGCTCTCTTCTCTCCCTTCTATAATCTTTGCGTGGACTTCTTGAACGATGCCTCCTTCTGCGATAGTCTGATCTCGAGTCGTCTCTCGCTGTTGCACCATTCTTGTTCCCCGGTTGAGGTCGGTCAAAGCTCCGTTTCCTCTCAGGTCTGTCTCTCCTTTTTCGATCATCTTCAGACTCAAACGAGTATCTTCGCCTACGGTCTCTCGTACTACCAAAGTCCGACCCGCGGTCCGACATATTTTGAGGTTCTTTCAACGCTTTTCACAACCAATCCAAATATTTGCCCGCAAATGCCAAGAAGACCCTCGCGCTTATGGCGTCTCCAGCGGCTCAAGCTATGAATAAAGTAAGTAGCGTAATTGCGCAATTGAAGTAAATACAGTATTTTTGACCAGCCACCTTGGTCTCTGCCCACGGCTTTTGGTCATGATTTCAAGGCCGCGCTGGATCATCCTTGGCGGCTGTGAGAGGGACTTGTCAATTTCGACCAGAGAGGCTCTTGAATTCAATGATCGTTCTTGGCGTAAGCCCGCTTACTTTACAGGCAAGACATTCCTTTTTCGGCAAGCTGAGCACTTCTTTTGCGAACCTTCACGGCGAACTTTAGCTTGCGCCTCTAGACCATAGTAAGCTCTCAATCAGCCCACCTATCACGGCGTTGCCTGTATTAGGTAATTCTCGCTTCGTCCATGCAAGATCAAGTAAGCAGAGCTAGAAACCAACTGGCCCGCTCTATAAAAGGGACTATCTTCAGCGATTGTTTAGCCAAAATATGTGAAAGTAAGAATGATAGATCGCTGTTGGCGCTGACTAGATGAAGAGGTCTGGGACCTCTTACATATTGGCCATGCCTCCCTCGCATTTTATTACACATTCCTCTAAAGTATTGTCCTTGTCCTTTTCATCAAAAATCATCATATCTCGCGAACTTTTCTCGACGTTTATTGAAGATGGCGCAAGCAGAGATGGTAATACAGGGTCAGTAGATATCCTTGAGGGTTGCTGATTCGTTCTAATGCCCAAAAGGTGTGGAGGGGGCAACTCAAGCAGTGGTTGGGGTAGCAGATGCCGCTGCTCACATTATGGACGTTGCAAGGGATGAAGCAGCCAAATGTAAGGAAGCCGCCAGAAACGACAACAATGAATTCAACATACGCAAAAATTTCCTCGATAACGCGGTCAACTCCATCAAAACGGCGACATGCGGACAGTACAATATCGTTATTGCAACAGATCAACAAAAGGACGATTTCCAGAATCTCAAGGGCCAGATCCTTCCTATGGACCTTCTCGATGTGGAAGTATCCCAAGGCAAAATTGTCAATTTCGAAGTCTACGTGTTCGACACCGGAAACTATCTCAGACACGGCAAATACGAGCAAGATTCCTGGTGGTATTCTGGGGAGTCAAAGAAATGGTACGACCCCATGGCTATGCACGTGGACTTCAACAACGCACAGAAGAAGCTCGACCCGACTGCAATCAAGAAGCAGCAGGACGACAAAGCGGCATCGGACAAGACCGCAGCGGATGCGGCGGCTGCAGCAAAAGCCCAACAGGACAGAGCGTCTGCAAGCAATGCCGCTGCGCTCCATACTGATGCTGCTGGAAAGGCTCAAGCGGCGCAAGCTACAGGTGGGACGGCGGGGAGTACTCCGGCACCGAGCGCACCAGCTGCTCCGGGATTCACAGACCGTGAGTTTAGAATAACCCAGATCCTTTGGTAAAAAAAACCATCTGCATTGCTAACAAGAAGTCAAGATCTCATGTCCGCCGCCGCCGGCCCGATGATGTCAATGTTCGTGGGAAAGGCTGTGGCTAAGTAGGTAGCGAGCTTTGGAGGTTTACAGTAGTTCGGTCTTGTGGTCACTTGGAGGAGGAAAAAGCGTTCTCATGGTTTTTAATCAAACGACACAAATCAGGCAACATTTTGTGAACTCCGTTACAAAGGTCGTCTGTTACGACTGCGAGAACATAGATGATTAGAGTTTTGGCTCTACTTACATCCTTACCTACCATTTCTTGGGTGCGTTTACCACAGAACGTGAGAATACAGCGCTTGCTTCCTCTTGTCTCCGCATTTTTTGTTTGGCATTGATACCGGTCCGGTCAGTAACCGGTGTCGCATCAATGATGTTGTCGAAGGCATCATTGTCGCCCAAATCTGAGCCAGACTCAGAATCGGAATCGACTGGAACCGACACCGTTCTCGTAATCTTTTCCGGCGGTTTCCTGTCTTCTGTGCTCGGGTTCGAAAAGGGCTTTGATGCGAGCACTCGCCGTCGAAGCTCAGCCATTTCTTCTTCGTCAGCCTCTTCGTCTGATATCGCTAATGGATCACCAACTTCAACCCCACCATCTTCGCCGTCCTCATCATTGCTCTTCGGAGCGTCCGAATCATCCTCATCTTCGTCATCCGAGTCGATCACAGGTCGTCGGTTCATATTGCCTCCTTTCCATGCATCCTCACCGCCAGTGCCACCGTCCTCGACTCTGCTTTCTGAGTACTCGCGCTCGATCTTAGCCAGCCAGATTTCTTCTGCCTTCTTAATCTCTTCTTCATTGGCGCAGGCCGCATAGCGTTTCAGAAGCTGAGCGTTGATTTCAAGGAAGGGTTCGCCGTACGAAAAATGCGCGAGCACTTCGTGTGCCCAGTCTTCGTGTCCGCAGATGAAGAAGCAAGCTGCAAGGGCTTCTGCGCAGTTCAATCTCCAGGGTCGTCCATAGTTCACTGAGTTGGCTGCAACAAGGTATGGTACTATTCAACTGTGTCAGAATTTTAATCCTTCGCTGGCAGTAAGATAGCGCGTCAGCCATACAAAGTCTTTCGCACTTTCCACCGATCTTGGCCCAAGGAACCTCTTTAATCCTAACCCAAGAGCATTCCACCACAGCTGCCCCATACTGTTCCAGTAGCTCTTTATCTGCCGCCGAAACAACCTTCTTTGCATTCGGTCTTTATCCTATCATCAGCGTATACTCTGTCTCCCAATAATTCCCAATTGCCTACGATATGACCACCCCTTGGAACTTCTGCCCAACTGACAGCTCCCGCATGAGCCCAAAATGCATGAGTCTTTTCCCGGAGCATCTTTTTGGATCGCAGTGCTCTAGATCCCAACAAGCTGCTTTGAATGGCGGTCTTCGATTCGGGGCTTCTCCGTCTTCGTTATGAGGGGTGGGGCGGTGGCGGGGTGCATTCGAGTGTTTCTTGCCTTTGGCAGAGAAGCCGTCCTTTTTGTGACGCATCTTATGAAACAAAGGTGTCGATATATTGAAACCGTGGATAGGGAGCCTACAATTGTAACTTCGTATAGAGTGTAGTGACTATGATGCTCAGGATTTTGAGCAACTCAATGACATCCACACGGCTAAAGTCCGGGACGAGAGCGCCGCAGCATATCAGCACTGGTGCACTCATCGAGATCGTGGTACTTGCAAAGTTCCTGTCTTGAACACACTCGTTGTGACGTTTGACAAACCATTATACGACAGTCTCTGACCTTGAAACAACGGTTGCCACGGCTTTCGGGTTGCCGACACCATGGAAGCTGCCTCGGCGCGGTACGCAGCCAGAGACCGCTTTGGGGGGTTCGGAGAGCCGGCGCAAACTCCCTTACAGAGATACATCCGTAGGAGCTTAGGAATGAATATTAGGGATAGAGTAAACAGCTGATATGATCCCCCAGAGAATGCCGTGGACCCGCAGAACTACGAGCCAAACTTAGCCCTCGACCTTGAGATCTCGGACCTTGTCAATTCCAAAAAGGGCAACGCGTAAGACAAAATAGCCTTACATCCTAATACACTCATGGCTCACCCTACGATAGGCCTCGAGAAGCTGCAGTAGCAATCGTCAACTACATCAATCACAGAAATGCCAATGTGTCATTACTCGCTCTTGCGGTACGGTGGGGCAATCCCTGGCCACACGACATCCAGCTGATGCAGTAGCAGCTTCTCGACATCTGCGTCAAGAACTGCGGCTACCCTTTCCACCTTCAGATCAGTACCAAGGAATTTCTTAATGAGCTCGTCCGACGGTTTCCCGAACGACCGCCCATACGGCCCTCCCGAGTCCAGCTGAAGATATTAGAAGCCATCGAAGAATGGAGGCAGACAATATGTCAGACCTCACGGTACAAAGAAGACTTGGGGTTTATACGGGATATGCATCGGTTGTTAAGTTACAAGGGCTACGTTTTTCCTGAAGTGCGGAGAGAGGATGCTGCGGTCTTAAACCCTAGCGATGTAAGAACGGCCTCCAGCATTAAGGAGGCCTACCTAATTGTCACCAGAACCTCCAATCGGCGGATGAAATGGAAGAGGAAGAAAAGGCAGCCCAGTCTGCGAAGTTACAGGAGCTGATTCGAAGAGGGGGACCAGAAGACCTTCAAGAAGCGAACCGGTTAATGAAGGTCATGGCAGGCTACGACACGAAACACAAAACAGATTACAGGGCAAAAGCAGCGGAAGAGGTCGGAAAGATCCAGCAGAAGGCGAGATTGCTAGAGGAGAGATTACAGAACTTCAAAGCTGGCGATGTAGTGGCAGAGGGAGATATCTTCGAGGTATGCTTCTATTACCCCAGGAGTAGCAGAGAATCAGCAGCTGATTTTGATCAGGAGCTCGCAAATGCCCTTCAAAGCGCTCAGCCTAAAATTCACAGAATGTGCGAGGAAGAATCTGATGACCAGGAAGCCGTTGCAAAACTATTCGAGATAAACGACAGCATACATCGGACTATTGAAAGATACAAACTCATCAAGAAAGGCGATGTTGATGGAGCTTCCAAAATCCCTCAAGGCACTCTCGGCACGTCGACTGGCGTCAGCAAGACTGCGGATAACGAGCTCTCCTTAATCGATTTTAGCGGTGACCCAGAACCTACTACGAGCGCGAGCGGAAACGTGAACGGTTCCAGCGAACAGAAAGGTGCATCGTTGCAGGATGACTTATTAGGTCTCTCCGTTCAAGATCAAGACTACGGCCAAGGGGGAGGCATCGCTCTTGGATTCGGTGCAAACTCAAGTAACAAAAGCTTTGCCAGTGCTATGAGAAAACACACTGACCTCATCAAAGACGTACCTGGACCATCGCTTTTGTCATCGACCACACAGCACAGCTCCGCCAAGGCTTCTGGGTCGAATGCCATACCTCAACCACAGCAGCCTCCTTTGCCTGCCAAACCTAACTACGACCCCTTCAAATTCGCGACAAGCTCTATCCCCTCGTCGCGATCGAGTACACCTGCGCCTCCCACTCTTCTCCAAACACAGCAAGCTGCAAAACCTTCACAATCCTCCGCGGATCCTTTTGCCGCGTTGTCATCGGCTGCTTCACGTACAGCATCCCCACTCCCAATGTCACAACCATCTACAAAGCCAGCTCCTCCGCCTTCTGCCTCCTTGTTTGACTTTGCATCTTCGAAACCTGCAGTAACTCAAAGCCAACCTGCACCAAACTCTCAACAAGCCACGAATGGTGCATCAGCCGATGACGACTGGACTTTTACCTCAGCACTGCCTGACGACGGCTCAGAGCTCCCAGCTCACAACAGTTTGACTGTCTCGAATACGGCAGTGAAAGTAGATTTTCGCGTAAAAAGACCCGAAAGCACTGATTCTGCCATATCAATAAGTGCCTTATTTTCCAATAACACACCCAGTCTCATTACCGAGTATACCCTTCAAGTTGCCGTAACCAAGGTAAATAGCATGTGAAGTCAAGCGGAACGTAATGCGTTGCTAACGTATTTTGATAGGGCTTCATGCTCAAGCTTACACCGCAGTCTGGGCGTACTTTACAGCCAAATCAGAAATACGGGATTACGCAGCACATAGTGCTCAACGGTGTGGCGAGAGGGCAAGCAAATTCTGCAATTATACGCTGGAAAGCCTCTTATAAGGTTGCTGGCGAATTACGGCAGGAACAAGGAGAGGTGCCCCCTTTGGGTATTGCTTGATATAGCAGCCATCTGTGCCTACAGAATTTTTTGAACGTAAGGGCCATGGCCTACCACCTTTTTCCACTGCTACAATACAGTGTCATTCCAACAGTGCCTATCTATTGATCAGCCGCCTTCGCGGTCCCAGAGATATACCCAGTAGCTTTCTGCTCTGACACCGCACCCTCCCCTTTCCACAATTCTAAAGCCGCGGACGCGGGCGAGTTGCTTTTCCATTTGCGCATATATGGCCCCAGAGACGCAATGACACCCCCCGTCTCGTAATACGTCAACGCAGCCGCCCCTGGGGGATCCAAAGCAAGACGAAAGCGTATGATCATCGGAGAGAATTCTTCTGACTGGTACTGAAATACGCCACCGGGGATGGGTTCGTCGAGCTCGGCATGGTTCGCCTGTTTGAGCTCGTTGAGGGCGGATATGGCTCGGTCGACGAGGGCTCGTAAGCTGCCGTAGGGAAGGCTGGGCTCGGAGTAGGAGTGGAAGGTTGTTAGGTAGCGGTTCTGGGCCCAGAGAATGTCGATGGGGTCCGGCGGGTCGCCGAGGGTTGCATTGAACAGGTGCCTGCACAGACTTCATTGATAGGCTGCAAAAGTGCGGAGATTGAGGGAAGCTTACAATGAAGAGCTATTGGTGTCAAGTGTAGTAGTGATGTCTGGCACCTCCTGCGAGAGGCCTAATGTATCTGGAAGGATGCCCATTGCAAAGAGAGTACCAAAGCTCACTCGAAGCCCCAAAAATAATAGCTGGCTTGTGAGCATATTCATGTGCTTGGCGGTCTTTTTCAACATGTTTGATTCGACGAAACATGTCACGCAATATTTGATGAAAAGAGAAGCAGACGCTGCAAGTATCACGGAACCACGCTTCAAGGACATGAGGCCGCGCTGTCGCGAAGCGGCAGTGACAAAAGTGAGCCGCATATCCATAGTTTACTCACCACAATAGGCGCCTACGAGCTGTCTAATTTTTATAGATCCAAGAGACACTTGAAAGTAAAACAAATTTCACCACTTCTGAGCTATTCCACCCAAAGTATGAAGATAACTGTGGGACTGAAAGAGATGTCTAGAAAGCAGACAGAGCCTGTCTCATTCATCGGAGCGCTGGATCACCTCTCTCTTCAAGCTGTGGTAATGATACTCTTCTGTGGGCTCCTAGGGAGAACGTAACAGTCCAGCAATGTTTGGATAGCAAGGTCAAAAATGTTGGCAAACCTGAGTAGGTAAGTGGTTCTGGGGTCAATAGTAAAGCACGTGCAAGATCTCCAACTAGCTCAGCCTTATGGGTCTTGAAGCTCTTCTCCCAAATCCTTTCCCGAATGCACCTACGTACATCCCAAAATACGATCACAGAGCATAGCTATGAATGCCGCCTCTGCTACGATCTGCTTCAATTCCAAGGATCAATTTGGAGCTCCTGACTCCTGTAGCGGCGCTCAATGCAACCTTGCGACCCCAAGATGTTAGTGCCCCGTTCATGGGGCTGTTATCTTCGCCCTGCGCCGGACACGTCGCTGACAGCTACAGGTTGGCGCATTATGGTTCCGCAAACGCGGCGAGAAAAAAGCCCTCCTCAGGACCCCCAGACGAACCCTTTTCGAGCTTCACGCTGGGCGACAAATTCTTCAATTACCCTTCGACCTAGTCCTGGAGACTATGAGCTCAGCAAGATCAGGTTCAGAGGTACGATTCACTACATCGGAAGCCCTCATAGCTGCTCTGGGACCCATGGGGCCCCAGTATGTAGACCTGCAGCAAAGCATTGACAAGGTGAATCTGTCCTATGTCAGGAATCCAATGCTCCTCGTTCAGAACAGAAAGGAGGCCATCAGAGAAGCCAGGCAGGCCGAGAGAGAGGCAAAGATTGCCCGGAAGGAACCAATCCATCGAATAACTTTGAAAGGCTTGCTTATTCAATATCTACGGCATGTGGATCCCATACTCGAGTATCAAGCTCGTCTCAAGAATTCGAATTCCGCATGTAAAGGATTGGACGACGCATTGCTGGAGCTCTTCAACGAGGATAACACCAGATTTCTTGGTCGTAGAGGGTGGGATGTAACCGACTTAATGAATTGGACCTGGGTTTTGACCTCGGAGACGACCGAACGTGCAGCAACTCGACTGTTGGCGATTGCGCATCAGGGATTTCCAAAGCTTGGAGATGGGATGTTGATCCCCCAATTCGTCTTTCTTTTCTTACTTCGTCGACGAAATCCGAGCGCAGAGGCCCTGAGGTCTTTGTTGATCTACGCTTGGGAACTGATGGAGAAGTCGGAAAGCTTGCTGGAACCGTTACCTCCACTGGAGAAGCTCGCGGATGAAGCACTCCAAGGAAAGAACCTCACAAATACTCGCGTTGTCAAAAGCGCAGAAGACGATCCGCTCGGGATGAACGGAAGCGTCTTCATGATTATGGTTATAAGGCTACTACGTTCTGCTCGCACGGTGTGGCCAGCAGCTTGCGACAGCATCGTAGCCTTAGTCAATCGATATTTGGACGGCGTCAATTTCCGTCCAGGGGCCTCGCAAATGACCACTTTGACTTTAGAAGACACAACGCAACTTACGTACATGTACAACACGCTCTTGAAATTGGTGTCGCTTCCAGCGTCAACAGGGCCCTTCCAGTCCGTATTTTACCAGCAGCGAGCGCAATTCAGTCTTTTGAGAAGGATGAATCAGTTTCAACCACCCTTGATTGTCGACAGAAGAGGATATCGCGCTGTTGTCAGTATGCAACTAAGGCATAAGAAGACCTTGAAGGAGCGTGAATGGGCACAGATGAAAGCAAAATCATGGCCTCCCTGGAAAGAAGAGAAGCTCGGTATAGACGCTAATATCAGTGTCGAGCATGGAACCAGTCGGGCCATGGAAGCTATGAGGCGGTCTTGGGAAGCAGGATATGGTCCGGATAATTGGGATATAGGTGCCTCAATCCTTGCAGGCTGGGACACCGATGGTAGTCCTACTATACAGACCCGTGCAGTCTATCTTCCTCATGATCCTCATGAGCGTCGTACCGAAGACGCACAGATCTGGGTTGCTCGAATACGATCGACAAGGACTCTCAATGAAGCTTGGTCTTGCTTCTTGTCGTACAAAGATCAGGAATTCAGACCTGGAGGAGCTTTCTATGTGTACCATCAAATGTTCGAAAAAATTGTGCAGGATGCCAAAAGACCGCCCGCTGAAAACATCAACCCCAGTTCGACAGATTTCCCTGATGAGCAACCTCCTCTGCCCGGTGATGGTCTAGAGGTCTTGCCTGCTCCCGAATCCCCTCGAGAAGCAGTGTATGTTCGTAGACCACCACCAACGATCGACGAATTCGTCGAATTGATGGCCGAGGATAAGATTAGGCCCGGTAAAAAGTTTTTGAGCACCATGCTTACGAATGCGCCGACTCTCGAAGCCGGTCTACAGTACCTTGAAGCAAGCGCAATGCCAAATGAGCACGTACTCGCTTTGGGTGGGGAGAAACCACCGAGCACCCCCAAGGCTCAAGCTGCGCTCGTAGCAATCCCGCCTTACCTTTTTTCTGCCTTCATTCGCCTACTGACTCGATTCCCGCCAAGAATGCCTTATAAAGATCGGCCCAGCGAATTTGCTCTTGCTCAAACCGGTTCAGTCTTGGATTCGATGATGGAGAAGACAGAATCGGCTCAGCTTGCTTTACTCCAAAATTCTTCAGGTTCAAAAAAAACTGTAGAGCTTGCACCCCCAGTAAGATCGATTGTTAAAAATCCGCTTCTCAAAGCCATTCAGCTTGTGCTTGCTCGGAAACCCCGATACCGACCTGCATGGTATAACCTTTTTCGAGCGCTCTCTAGTCCTAGAGTCGTGATAGATGTGGTCTCGAAATTTGTAGACCAAGATTACCAGGACATCAAGACTTGGCAGATGACCTGTACTCTCTTGAATGAAATGCTTGAGATTGACCAGACCCTCGATCTTGAAGGCTTTCAGTTACTCTGCGCCGGACTAGAAAAGGCAATCTTCGCCAGTGAAAGGCTCTCCAGGAACCCACGCATTCGACGAGGAGACAACGATCCCAGGGGCGACATGAGATCCTACGTTGATCGCGTACTTTTGACCGGTCTTCCGCTTCTCAAAGAGATTTTCAAGGACGTCGTCAGATCGAAAACGATGCAGGAAGCGATACCTGTTTCTCTAACGGAAGAGAAGTCAAACATCGACGCATCCATTGAGGAGCACGGTGTATTGGAGTCCGGTGATACTGAAGAAGAGTTTGAAAATGATTCGATGACAGAATCCAGGGCCTTTTTACCTCCAGGCTGTTTGCTTCCGAGACTACTGGAGGTGCCACACCCCGCTTGTCTTCATGGGTTCATACGAATACTCGGACTTCGCCGAGATTACCACGGTATTTTGGACTTGGTAGAATGGATGTCCCTCTTCGCTGATGACATCAACGCCGTCGCCGACGAAAAAGCGAATTGGTCCAGGATGATGCGGCGGTGTTTGACCGCAATTCACGTGTTCATGGAACGCAGTTGGATAATTCTGGAAAAGAGAGAAGCTGAGGCTCAAGGAGAAGACCCAAACACTGTACGTGATGAGCTAGAGATGAAGGCAGAACCTGCACCAGCGGGAGTTGTGAGGGCTATTCAAGAGATTGTGAGGCAAAATAAGAGATGGGGCGGTTGGCCTATGCCTCATAACGTGATGCAGTATTGTGCAAATGGGAAGTTCATATAGACTGTAATTACATATCTAGACACCCGGTATAAAGCAAAACGTACCAATTCAACGAAAGCGCCTGCTCTCCAATCATAAATTATTTGGAACTCCACGGTGTTTACCCAGTACGCAGAAGAATCCATTCCAGACAAAGCTTCCAACTTTCCGCTGATAGAAATGCGTCCACCCCGACATCCCACCCTCATCTTTCACAATCACCATGACATCTTCATCACCCAACCCCGTCTCATCCTTGCTCCTCACCGCCATGTCCGCCTCTCCTCCACCGCCCCCGCCCCGTCCCTCCTTAAAACCCACAACATCCCCGCCCCCCACCTCGGCCACATCCGCATCCTCAGTCTCAACAACCCCCGCAGCCGCAACGCCATCTCCCGCCAACTCCTCTCGGAGCTCTCTCACGAAATATCGGCCGTGAAAACGCAGACCGAGGATGAGCTGGCGAGGAGGAAAGCCCAGCAACAAGAGAGCGCAGCGCTGGGAGCGGGAACGCGGGTGCTGATCCTCGCCAGCGACCTCGACGAATGCTTCTGCGCGGGCGCGGACCTGAAAGAGCGGCAGAGCATGAGTGCTGCTGAGTACGTTCTCTACACCCACCCACCCACCCACCATGCTATGCCATTCCCCCCCCCCCTCCCCACGAAAATACATACATGCATAGAGAACCCAACAGCGAGCCAGCCAGCTAACAAACCCTCTCACCCCCCAGCACGACCCACTTCCTCCACACCCTCCGCAGCACCCTAACGCAGCTCTCCGCGCTCCCCATCCCGACCATCAGCGCCGTCGCCTCCGTCGCCCTCGGCGGCGGTCTCGAACTCGCGCTCGCGACCACCTTCCGCATCTTCGCCTCCTCGGCCCTCGTCGGCCTGCCGGAGACGCGGCTCGCGATCATACCGGGGGCCGGGGGCACGTATCGGTTGCGGGGGTTGGTGGGGGAGGCCAGGGCGCTGGAGATGGTGCTGACGGGGAGGAGGGTGGGCGGGGTCGAGGCGGGGCGGATGGGGATTTGCGAACGCGTGGTCGATGTGGGTGGTGGTGGGGACGGGGACGGGGGTGGTGGGGAGTCTGCGTCTTGGACGGGGGGGAGGGAGTGGAGGCGGGATGTGAGGGAGAAGGTGTTTGAGAGTGCGGTGGGGATGGCGAGGGAGATGTGTGAGGGGGGACCGGGGGCTGTGGGGGCGGCGATGAGGGTGGTGAGGGAGGGGACGGCGGAGGGGGAGGATAGGGAGTATGAGGGTGTTGTGGGGATGGGGGATCGGGATGAGGCGCTCAGGGCGTTTGGGGAGAAGAGGAAGGCGGTGTTTAGGGGGAGGTGAGGGGGGAGGTTCTGGGGGCATATGTAAGGTATTTTCATGGAGAGTGCGAGCTGGTTGAAGATATTGTAGACAAATTTCTGTGGAAGTAATCGCGTTGTCTTCATCAATCATCAACTCGTCCACCCATCGAGAATAGTACGCCCATCCAAACACGCCCCGGAGTTCGTACAACGACAGTCAGATCAGTCCAAGAGCTCACAGAACGCCCGCTAATCCAACAGCGATTCACAATCCACTTCACTCTTACAAACCCTTCAATTGCTCCACAGCCTCATACAACTCTTTCGGATCCTCAAACGTCCTCCAAATCTCCCTCGGTACATCCCTAAACGCCTTCTCGAACCTCTGATCCGTGTTTTTGTCCGTATCTTTCATCTCAGCAACATCCGTCACCTTCCTGATAAATACCGCCTTGACCCATCCCTTATGCTTCCTACAAATATCCCCATACGCTTCAGGATCACTCTGTGTGCTGTCACCCACACAAAGCACTTTCCTTCTAGGCAGCCAATTATGTATCTCCTCTATGCGGCTTCGCTTGTAAGCTTCGGTTCCTTGGGTGAGCGACGCGAGGAAGCCACCAAGATCCATCCATGATGCGTCGCGGAGTATGGTAGTGCCTTTGGGGTAATATTGATGCAGGAATGGGCGAAGGAAGGGGTACAGGTTGTAAGGCGAGGCGGAGAGGTAGAACCAGGCTGGGTTGAGGGAGGTGGCGATTTGGGCGTAGAGTTCTGGCATTCCGGCTATGGGGGTGGGGTCCGAGACGAAGGTGCTGCGGAGGATGCCTATGGGGGAGGGGGTCATGGTTATTTTGATTGAGTCGTCAATGTCTGAGAAGCGTCAGAATATGGGTTGAGTGCCGCTCGGGTACGACGTACCTGAGACCATCAACCAACCCTCTGGCTCCGCGAAGTGAGTGAGCATAGGTCCATGAGGGGTGACTTGGGGCGATATTGCTGAGATCTCGGCGCTTTCTCCCTCTTTGTGGTCTTGGATAGAAACAATAATCTGTTGACTAACGGCGCTTCTTCCACCAGGCCCAAGCTTCTCGACAGTGCCGTTGGGTAACTTGATGTCAACGTACCGCGCAGGGGCTATGGTCTCGACAAATGGCTTCAGTCGATGCGCGATCGTCTTCTCCGCCTGCGCTCTCCCTTCTCCATCTGCTAGACCTAGCGTATCTGCAATACTAGCGACAGCTTTACTCCAATCCTTCCCCGTATACCGCTTAAAGTAGGCAGCGGTAAATTGGGCTTGAAATGGCTGTGGCTGATGAGGGTAGACGTGCACAGGTCGGTAGGCTGTATTGTCGAGAAGCCAGACTTCCTCTTTTTCTGGGTCCACGGCTCTTGCCAAGGGGTTGAACTTGCTCAGAAAGGAGCCCATGTTGTCGAGGAAAGGGATGTTCCATCGCGAGCCTATATGTTTTGGGAGCAGCTCTTCTATCTTGTGAAAATCGCCTGCTGACCGGGTCTCGCGCTCTGAGTGTGTCTCCTCCATCACCTGCCGGCCTTTGTCCATGGAGGCGTCCATGGCTGCCTTGGAGGGCACTTGAGCGTTTTGTTCCTCAAAGGATTGGGGCTGTGAGGCTGACGGATGACGTGTGTCTTATTCTTTCTAGGGTGGTCGCAAAAAATATATACAGTGGAAGGACATGATACGGTAGGAATAAGAAGAAAAGTCAGAGGATGATGTGGTTGGTGAGAAGTCAGGTGGATTGAGAATTGGCATCTCATCGTTACACGTGTTTGCGCGAAGCCTTTAGGGCCCCTTCGGTAACCACATATTTTCAAATTAGCGTACTATATATACACGGTTTCGTTTGATAATTATATTTTCACTTACTAGGCCACATTTCGTCTTGAAAATATGGAAACTATAGGTTAATCTATAATTTAAGACTTAATGTACGCTAAGTATATAGAAATAATAGATATTTATAACTGTAATAGCGATACTTATTTTAATTTTATAATTAATAGTTATACTTTATAATTATAATAGCTATATTTTAGTTATAGATAATTCTCTAATCTAAGAGATAGCTATAAGTATTATTCTTATTACTACTTAATACTATTATTCTTATTATAATAGAAGATAAGATAACGACGAAGGTAATAGAAGTATTAATAATGGCTAAAGTCTATATAATAATAATAGATATATTAGCTATAAGACTGTTAAATAATAGATAGAAAGATAATTATCTCTAATGAGAAAGAATTATTCGATTATTCTATATTCGATTCTTACTTAATAAGATTATAGAGTTATCGAACGAAATCGTATATATATTTAACATATTTTCAAGTGTCTACTAGTGCTGTTTTGAGCCCACATTTCATTTGCCAAGAGGTGGGGTTATATGTTGGCATATTTTGAAAATATGTGGTTACCGAAGGGGCCCTTAGCAAACCCCACTCTCCAGGCGCCACCGAGCCACCCTCTCACACTCCCACACTTCCCCTGTGTAGCTCTTCCCTATCAACCTCATCCACTATGGCCCGTCTTTCGGGGAAGTGTCCGAGCGATGTCTGAGTCATTGCCATGTCAGCCTACCTGTGCTGTCGAAAAGAGCGGCATAGCGCTGAAGATAGATGAAACCAACAAGGCGGCAACGTGTCTAGACCACACCCACTCCTCTTCTGAAAAGTATGCTTTTCTGAAAAGTATGGGCCCAAGTAGCCCCCAATTTTTGGACGAGTCAATACATATAGAAAGTCCAATAGCTTTCTCTCCTTCCTACTTCCTCCCTTCTTCCATTCTTCCCTTCTTCCACACCTTCCACACTAAACTCTCCTTCAAAACCACATTCTCCATCAAGACCACGCAACAATGGAAGCAGAAAGGGCCAAGCTCCCTGGCTTTGGCCTGCCTGTGAACTACAGATCTGATAAATACTTTCCCAATGCTGTCTTGCATTGGTCGGGGACCATATTGACCGTTCGAGAGCTGAACATGATGGCAATCATGGACAAGATCACTGACAAGCCGGACTGGGATCAGAAGGTCTTTGACAATACCATCGTTCAGAAGTGGCGCCAGGAAGCTCTTGGCACCGAGGGCATGGACGTGTCAGAGAAGATGCTCGACTGGGTGTGTACCACTTTCCTCTGAGAAGTCATACTCTACGAGATCCTGTCATGGCAGGTTTTCTTGGTTATATTCCCTCTCAAAGACCAGGCTTACGCGCACTCTAAAGACCAATAGTTCGTTCCCTCGCCCATATATATGCTTGTCTACGCTCGTCTTTGCCATCGTTCACTCTCTGATGTCCATACCTTGTCCCATCGAGGTCCCATCGAGGAGCCATGGGACGGCCTAAAGCATGAATTGAATTGTACTTCCAAGTAAATCCAGAGGCCTCCTGGCTTTGAATTTCCTAGTGCAGCTTGAGCCTCCTTCTCGTCATTGATGGGCTAATCTCTTATGATAGTGCTTTGCCGAATTGCGTGACAAAGCCCGATCCTTCCGAAGCGACGGCATGATCCCAACTTTAGACCTCGATGCTGCGGTGATCAAGTCTGATACTGCCATCTCTTCTGAGCTAAAAGAAGCCCTGCGAGCTGGGATCGCTCCCCTCGAAGACGTCCCTGATAGGCTCAAGGATTGGCATCCCGGCTCTGACGGCAAGCTACTTGACCTCGTCCACCCCTCTTTGTTCCCTTTGATCTATGGCCGATCCAAAGTCCTATCATCCGGAAATGTAGGACTCCAAGATTGTGTAAGCTGTATCGGCAAAGGCGAGATTGCCACTACGCCGGATGACACAGAAGTCAATGTTATCGACAAGTCTAAGCTCACGTACGATACCTGGGGTGACACCAAATTCTGGTCCAAAGCTTTCCAGTGGCTTCCCTGTGACGTAAAGTTTGCCGGCGACGATGTCAAGATCACCAGCTACATCAACAACCTGCATCCGACATCGCACCCAAATCTCTACTCTGTCATTGAAAAGTTCATTGCCAAATCAATCCCACTCTGGAACTTGACCCTTTCCTCCACGCATGCCGGACGCAAGGCGCGCATCCTACATGATTATACTGACTATGATTACCCCCGAGGGGACAGCCCCCCAAAGGAAATAGGGGATGATCGGGATGCTCAGTCGAATTGGATGAGGGCCAATCGCGTTCTGCAAAGGCCGGAACCTCGAGAATTTGAATCGTATCAACGGCCAGTAGACGAACAGGTCAGCCTTCGAAGAGAATTTGGGGAGCAAGGACTACAGGTCATCGTGAAGCTCGCCAACATTGAGCTGACACCCGAGAAGCCAACTTATGACGGTGGATCGTGGCATGTTGAGGGACAGCTCAATGAACGAATTTGTGCTACGGCTCTATATTACTACGACTCTAAGAACATTGCGGACAGCTTTCTGACTTTCCGCCACCGCACTGATGAGGATGATTTCGAAGCGAAGTCACATGACCAGGTAGTTACCCCTTCCAACAAGAAGCAGCGTCTTGGAACCCCTGCAACGGGATTTCGTGCTTCCCGCTAAATTCTAGATGCTGATTTTGCTTAGGATGACCATGAGGGCGTCGAAGAACTCTACGGCGTCGAGCAAGAAGGGCCCAAAGTGCAGGAAATAGGCCGAGTCGCGACCAGAGAAGGGCGGCTCCTTGCCTTCCCCAACGTCTTTCAGCATCGAGTGGCTCCATTCAAGCTCGAAGACCCTTCGACACCAGGACACAGAAAGATACTGGCGCTGTTCCTGGTTGATCCTCATTGCCGCATCATTTCTACTGCCAATGTTCCGCCTCAGCAGAAAGATTGGTGGAGTCCTGAGATCCGAGAGAGCGGGAGGCTTGCGAAAATGCCGAAAGAGATTGTGGATCAAGTTGTGGAAGATGTAGAGGACTTCCCGATCTCTTTGGAGGAAGCCAAGGAACTCAGGCTCGAATTGATGGAGGAGAGAAAGGTGTACGTGGAGGAGGTGAATAAGGATATACAGTCTGTAACATTCTGGTTCTGTGAGCATTAGCAAGTAACGACTCAACTGGCTGCTCTAAGTGCCTAGATATTGCGAATCTGTAGGATGCAAGCTATAAGATTTATAGAAGACGGTTTCACTAGCAGGATGCTAAGCTCTGGGTAAACATTCTTGATACAATACGTTGGAGTCCCATTAAATGATCTCTTGTCTGATTTCACGCAAAGCCCAAATTTCTACCTCACGAAGATGATACCTCGACGGCTTACGGTGACAAGGTTTCAACTTCTTCCGGAAAATGAACCCAGCAAGCAAGCACAAAACCTAGCTCGTTTAGAAACCATTGGCGGGCAGATGTTTTCGATCGAGGCTGGGGCACCAGACATGTTTGTTTGAAAGACATCAGTAGAAGAATCCTGGTCATCGCTATAGTGGAAAACGGGTGGAGCTTAGTGGTTAATGTGGTACCGAGAAGGGCATGGCATTGTGATCGAGAACGTGCAGAGAAGGGCCAGTTGGGAGAACGCATGTAGGAGATGGTAGTTTTGTGACACTGGGGGCTCTGGAAGAACAGCGCAATGCTCCATCCACAGCTTAGCAAGATGTTTCAAAAAGAGGGCACGCAATAAAAGAGACCAATCAAGACCTCGACAACCTACGAACAACTTCCCACGTAGTCCACAATGAAGATAGATGGAAAGCGCCAAGCCGGAAGTCAGCTATCCCCAATATAGCCTAGCGCAGTCCGACATCCGAGAGATCCAAAATCTTCAGCTTTTCAATGCACCTTCTTTTCTCCTCATCATAAAACACAACCCTTCATATTCACTCTGACTTTTCCCGCCTTCGTGCATCTATGGGTAGTCTTGGAGGGGAAAATGGAGGGGAGAGCAAGCATCAGCCGTTAGAACTTACCCCTCAGCTTCCCCCCACCGTGGAAATGGAGATTGGGGAAATCATATTATGACGGGACATTGCCACTAAGCAAAATCAAACGTGCATCCACTGGGTGTCTAGAGCTAGTCTCAACTCTGCACATACCTAGAAAGGAGACTCCGGGCTCGTTGAGGGGAATGCTGCTTGGGCCCACGCTGGGAAACGACGTTGAATGTCACCTGCGCTACCTGCGTGATTTGCTGCAGTGCTCTGAGCTTGCAACTTCCTCCCAATAGGAAAAAGCGGCTGGCCACTCACATCCGCGAGCCATCGAGATCCTGGTCCGTACGAGCTGACCGTCATGCCTGGCTAAAGATAAGACGAAAACAGAGCGGGTTGCAGCATAGGTCCCATCCCGAATCAAACCAAATCACTCCACCTTGAGAAACAAATCAGTTTCTTGTGTCCCCGGAACATTTGCCATATGTACCAATATCAATATAAATGGATATCGGCGGCCAGCAACGTTAGCCGCCCATCCGACAGGCGTTGGATGAAGTACCAAATGGATAGCTGGTGGATTCTCCTAGGATGTGGATACGTTCCTGAGACAGCTATCGCAATTAACGGAGCGCGTTTTCAGCCGCGCTTATTGTAAGAGACATCATAATCTCTCATTTGTTTTCACCGAACTTGCACGTGGCACTCACCAAGCCAGTGATGCCGCATCTCCGATCCCCTTGTTGGCATTTCAGGATCTTCGATCCACCATCTTTGGGGTCTGCTACTTTGAATATGGATGTATGCTCATGATCTTCTTTTTCCGTCCTCTTCCTGCTACATTCTCTATAGGCCGATAAGATTGGTGCTCTACTCTTCTGAGCCGCCTCGAGTACTTAGAAGGTAAATTGATTCTAAATGCTACACTTTTTCGTTCCACTGCAGAGCTCCACCGCAACGGAAGCTCGCAACTCATCCCAGAAAATTTGAGGGATTTTGCAATAGCGGACGTCCTTGCTTTCGAGGGTCCAGTCTCACCCAGAGTTTCAACTACGGATGCTTCTTCCCATCTCTACACAATTACTGATCAATTTTTTTTGCTTTTTGGGAGGTCAAGACAAGCTCTTTGCGCCATTAAAGCTTCTAGGATGATATTCGTGGGGGTCGGTTGGCCACCCACGTAGACCCGACATCAAGCTTCCTTGAGCTCTTAGTAATTTAAGGGCATGCAAATTTTTTTAGTTTATCTTGCATCCGAAGCTATCATCCCACGCCCCTGACTGGTATCCCCTTCAACACCATAGGACAAGGATACAGATACCCAATTCACACCGCCAGGAATAGCTGCCGATTGCCGCCAATGCAAGGTCAGTGGATCTCCCGCTTTCAGCCGCGAGTCAATGGAATACTACTTTTACCAGGTTACTAAGCTTGCTTCCAGCTTATCCTGGTTTCAGGGTCGTCCGCAGGCTCAATTGTCCCTGCAGGTTGAAACGGCCAGCAGTGACCTTTGCGCCAAGCGTGGTCGACGGCCTTTTTTTGAACGGAAACACGGCATGGGTGATGTTGCGTGCAACCAATGGCTCGCACTCGACGTCATGGAGACGCGTTCTTGGCATCCTATACACGTCCTACAGAGATACATATGCACGCAGCCTTGCCACGAGCGTTACCATCATACTGTATGCTGAGCCAGACATTGCAAGGGTTTTTACCCTATCATGTTCTTGCCTCCCGTACACTCTTCATCTACATTGTACCTTATTCTGTCACTGGTCATCGCTCTACCCTTCATTGACAGCTCACCGATACCTAAATTAGACTTGGATATTCCGCAAGCCGTCAATTGTACCGACCTGAAGGCCTCCTTTGACTCGTCATGCTGGAAGACGCTCAACCTCGAAGGTTACCTCAATGATCCAGAAACGGGCTGGAACCGTACTGCAGCTATTTGCACGGGCGACGAAGATGATGCCGCTTGTTGTCTACCCACGGAGCCTTGGACAACCTGCTACTTACGGCTGGTCCACGGTTTCCCTGGTACGGACTGCAGCGAAATCAATGCCCAAGACTGTTCCTATGACCCTAGCCTCGCCGTCGACCCAAGGATCGCGCCATATGTTGCATACACAATGAAAACGATATATGGTACTTTATCCAAAGCGCCTCCCCTCAAACTTTTACTAACCCCAAGGTCAACAGCAATAAACGACCTCTTCACAACCTGGTTCAACGCTCTACAATACGCCGCCTCGCAAGCCCTTTCCATCGTTCAAGACGTAATCAATCAAGTCGATCCGCCCCAGCAAACAAATTTCATCCTCCGCGACCTCCTATTTGCCCTCACAGTCGGCCTCGCTTACATTGTCGCGCCCGAAGCCGGCAGTCTTACAGGCCTCCTGGTGGCAACAGCCGCAGCCGGACGAGCTCTCCTAAAAGGCGCCAACCAAGCCCCAACGGTTGCGCGCGGCATCTGGCCCGCTGGAACGGAATCCTCCCAATCGATCCAGATCGGCGACGTAGAGAACGAGCTCAACAACGCCACGGGAATCACAGCCATAATGTTGAATTCGGGGCTGGAATTGCTAATGAGCGATATGCCTTCCTTCGTTGAGTTCGCCTCCACGGGCATGTTCTCGGGATCCGACTCCCTGTCCCTCCCCAAAGAAGTCGACGGCCTTGACGTCGCCCTCAAAACATTCATAGTCTCCAACGCCATGACCTCCAACGGCTGGCATTATACCGTCAGCCTTGGGGCTACACGCGACGACATCTCCAGCTGTGTCCCCGGCTCTGGCGGCAGCTGCTGCACATGGTGGACCCTCGGTTCCTCTTCCTCCTCCTCCTCCTCCTCCTCCTCCTCCTCCTCCTCCTCCTCCTCCTCCTCACCCGCACCCAGCATGTGCGGTGATTTTATCTGGTACAGCGACGCCACGATGCGGGCCTTCAGACTGATTAATTCTCACAACCTTAACGGGACTGTGGATATGCTGAGTGCGATTGTGGAGAATGCGTGGACGACGCTACCGTTGCTGTTCGACGGGGCGTATAATTGCAGTGCGGCGGGGACTTTTGGCGGATCGCCGATTCAAATCGAGGCGGACGGGACGATTGATTTGAGTTGTATGAGTCAGTTGGCCGAGGGGCCTTCTTTGTCTGCGGAGTGAATGAGCTGTGCTCCTCTGAGAGGAAGGTGTGTGGATTCTGGAAGCTTTCGTTGATTGTGTTGCCACACCTTGCATAGCGTGAGCATCTATATCCTCTTAGACCGTTTCTTCTTCCGGCATCTCATACCACGATACTTCATATCACGGCGTTTCCTCCTTTGCACTACACAGGCATCATCAACATTCGTAGATCAAAGCATAGCAATATAAACACTCTTGAACACCCATCTCAAACTCCTGACCGCCCCAGATCTCTGAAATACCCACACATCTCCCGTCCACGTCAGTGGCATACTGCCTAACATCATATTCCACCACCCCTCATATCCATAGCCTTCTATCCCGAAATCGCGTGTCGTGATACTCTCCGTGTGCTCCACAAGCGCATCAGTATCATTTCGACACAATACAACACCCTGACGCGGTGGATTTGATACGAGGTAATGAGCGTTGTCGATCCTCTGGGCTAGGACGACTGGATTCCTGGCGTCACAGACTGGTGTCAATAGTGTTGGAGGAGTGCTTATGCATGGTATGGTTGTCTGATTAGATTCAATGATCTTTAGTACATCGGGCGTTAGTAGCGTTCATAAATGTCCATTGTGAATAGAGCATCACAATTACATTACACCTCAGACCGGGCACTAGAGTAGCGCACGGAGCTTCAAGACGGTTGATTTACTTGCTAACCTCCCCTCGCAGTATGGTACAACCTGGTCACATCTCCCACGACCGACTCTCTAGACTTTTTGCGCTCCATCGCTCGCTCGCACGTATCGTGAAATGGCCCCTTCCGGCCATCCACTCCCCCCTCCCCTCTGCACGAACTCGTAGCGGAAAGGGAAGCACGCCCTCACATCTTCCCCTTGACCTCCTCCGCCTTGCCCTTGGCCTGCCCCGCGACCTCCTGCGTCTTGCCCTTGGCCTGCCCCGCGACCTCCTGCGTCTTTCCCTGCACCTCTGCCGCCTTGCCCTTGGCCTGGCCCGCGACCTCCTGCGTCTTGCTCTTGGCGTCGCCGGCGAGCTCGGACGCCTTGCCTTGGGCTTCGCCGGTCGTTTCCTTCGCGGAGCCCTCGGCTTGCTTGGCGTTGAGGCCGACGGTGGATTTGAGGTTTTCGGTCGCTTGTTCTGTGAGGAAGGGGGGGGTGGGGGGTTAGTTTTTGCTGTTGTGGAAGAAGAGAAGATGAGGAAGAAAAAGACTGGAGGATTTTTTTTGGTGGTTGTAGAGAGTGGTGATCGCGAAATTCGGAATGTAGAAGGGATGGTGAGACTCACGGCTCTTCTCAATACCCTTCACGGCCGCGTTCCCAACAGTCTTGTTCACAGACTCGATGGTATCTTTGACGGCGGAGCCGGAATCCTTCTGCACATACGGGCTCGTAGAAAAGCGGACGCGCTTGGTGGCAGCCAAGGGGGCGCGAGGCGCGCGGGTGGTAATGGTGCGAAGGAGAGACATGTCTTTTGCCGGGTTCTGGAAGTGGTAAAGCTGTCGTTGTTTGGAGAGTTGGGGGGTTGTGAGTTGGGTAGTTGTTTTGGGAGGTGAGATGATGTCGACGGAGGGAATTTGCATGCTGGGCGGAGACGTCATTCTGGGGTAGCCTCATGCTGTTTGGTGCGCGTAGGCATAGCGAAGCGAGTTTGGGTTGGTAGGGTTTAAGCGAAGTATCGCCGGATTTCGCACACGGATTCGACTTGGGTTCACTATTTTGTTCAGTTGCTTGCTCACTTACGTCACATTCGCGTGATATTCGCATCCGGACAATTCATCTAGGTGTATATTTGATTCACGTCCGTCTTTGGATGCTTCATCAACATGTCTGAATGCTTCATATGTACCCCGGAAGCTTCATTCACGTATCCAGCAGTTGCCCCATCCACGCCTGGCCCTCTAGCTCGACGCCCAGACAAATATTTCATGGTGTGGCTACTTTCAAAAGCAAAGAAAAGAGATCTCATGGGTCTCCAAGCCCTCTAAAGTTCCTGTCGTCTAATGCTGAAACGGTAGAAGATATCAGCGAGGCTCTCCTGGGGAAAAGCACCCTCACCTTCAAAGAATTTCATTTCCAGGTCTCATTGCTTGCTGGACGCCTTGCATACTATCCTTGCAGCCGCTCATCAGTCTCCATACCTGCACTGAGAGAAGAACCTAATCTCATACTCCCAGCTATCACGTTCCTTAGCACGCGCGATACCCAGTCAACTTTCTTCAACTGCTGTATCTTTCTCACTTCTAGCTCGCATCTGTAGAGGACCTGACTTGGTGGCACATACATCAAGCTTGCATCCTTATATAGATAAGCTCCACATCTATCTCATTGCTACTCGTGTATGGGTTTCTATAGAAGGCGGTGTACCTGAGTTTCAAACCTGAGGGGCAGGCCAAGACGTCTCAAAGCTGCCCTTACCGAAATCATGAACGGGGATTGCATCCGTCGCCCTGCACCGAAAGCCTTTTTCGCTCTTTTCGGACCACTCTCGCATTCACATACATCGTCATCATCTTCCAACCCTTCTGGTGCCGTCGCTTCTCGCCACTTTTGCTTAGCCAAAATCACAGAGAAGTAGAAGCGTATACCGCCCCCTTCGCCAATACCTGAATTCCCAAGATTCTTCGGGAAGACGGCTACATGAAAACGGCTATACCTAAATACATGCTTGACGGCCATATCAAGCTGGACTTGACTGGTGACCCTGTCCCAAGAATTCCATGAACAGCGATTGGTGTGGCTTAGAGCTCATAGAGTCCCTTTCGGACCCTGAGATGCCATGATGGCCTAGGTGCAGCGAGCGAATAGCTTGCTGATGAACAAGAGTTGAGCATCGGGATATTGTGGCTTTTTAAGTTGTGCCGCTTGCCAAGGGACGTGACTGAGGTTCTTATGCTGCTCTCTCGAGAGTGATGATAGCAGGAGTTCCTGGGACCAGGTTTTGTGCGCTGGCGATCTGACGGAACGATGGTCTGTTTGACGAAAACTTTGCACCCTGTCAATCACCGAGAGGTGGCAACACGTTGGGCGCTTGATTATGGTTGAAGCTCTACCGAGACGACGACCTCCCGCAATCAGCCTCCTGCTAGCAATAGTCTTTGAAGATCGTTGGAGCGTTCCACGTGTATCAGGCTCCCTGCAAAGCAACCCATAAGGACGATATCTTGGGTCGAAGCGCTGAGGGTTGGCGTTGGGTTTGCGCCTTTCCTTGACGCCTGCTATCTGATCGCTCTGGAGTTTGATAGTATTTCACGCTTTGGCCAACTCCTCAACAAGGCTCTTGAATGTAGCATTCTTGTCGTCAACTTCTGTCTTCAAGTGAGTGATGTCCAGAAGAAAAAGCAACTTCACGGTCTCAATTTTCCGCAATATATTTTTATGCTTGGCAACCAATCTCCTCATGAACGGCCTTGTTTGTTTGTTTGAAGCTGCATCACCCACCAGCCGCAAAGTCAGTCAATGGTCCTAATTTTCTGTCGCTAAGAGGCCATACCTGAAAAGTCCGGCAAAACAACGCCTTCATTGGTGGCTATCCTAGTCTTCCTCCTAAAAAGCAAGTACCTCTCCGTCGATTCTGTTCCAAAATGGACGAGAGGTCACAACCAAGTCCAAACACCACCAGAAGTCATTCCGTTCAATTAGACATTTTCAAAAGTCGCAAAACACTCAGTGTCATTCCCAGGGTCCTTCCAAATCTCAAGCTTTCGAATCATTCTCTAGGACTGGAGCCTGAAGACATCACGCGCTTTATGCCCACAGGCCGCAACCTGTCGAGACCAAAGCGTATCTCCTAGCTCATAAAAGACGTGTTCAGCAAGTCAAGCGGTGAATGCATTGCGCTTTCTCAGGAGGCTAGTAGACGATCCAGCGTCATTCGCTTCACGTTTTGAAGGCATATTGCAATCATTTACGTCAGCGAGCTGGACGTTTGGTGAGGTGTGCGGTCGGTCACCTCTTAGTGGCCAGGTGTTGGGGTACTTGGCTTGCTCTCGTGGTACTCAGAATCATCCCCATCATGTGAAGAAGAAGGCCGCTCGATGGATTCATGATAATCAGATATTGTGATGTTTGGGTTGTTTTCAAGGTACTCAGAATCATTATCATCGTCCGCATCTGGCAGAGAAGAAACGTTTCTCGGTGTCGAGGCCATAGAGTCATTCCTCATGGTGGTGTCGAGCGCGTCGCTTGTGGTAGCCCTTCCTATGTCTGTGGCGGTTCCACGTTGCGGTCCTTGAAAGATGACGTGGAGCCTGGCGAGGGGTGACGCAGCTGAAACGCAGGTATTGCATGCTCCGCTGACGAGACACCGTCGAAGACATGTTGAGGAGCGATGTTGGAAGGATGAGCGGGGGTTTCGTTGCGCGAGACCGGAGAATTCGATCGATTGGACCCAGAATTGTGGCCAACTCGCTGATTGTTGGCATATTTTGGATTCATGCGCATCTGGCCGAGAAGAAAGATTCCTGGGTGTCGAGGCTGTAGAGTCACACTTCATCGTGGTGTCGAGCGCGTCAAGCGAGTACTCAGAAGTCCGTTTTCGCCATCATCATGATACTGCAACGCGTTATAAACTCGCAATACGACAAAATTGCAATGGAGGGAAGCCTTACCCCGATCTCCTGCTTCTAAAAGTAGCCCAACAGATGCGGGCCTGGCCTCGCCGTCTTTGTCACCTGTTCTTCCGCCATTTGGTTCGTTAGACAAAGTCTCGCTCCATTTAGCCAGGAACTCAGCATTGGCAGCAGGTCAGCCAGAACAATGGCCAAATGTGGGGACCCTGCTGTTGAGCTAGAGGAACAGCCTGTTGTCGTTGATGATGGTGTTGATGTAACAAAGCTTCCCTCTGATACTGCACTTGCTGTTGATGTGCCTGTTGATGTGCGACCCTCATCTGCTCTCTAGCTTGACGCCTCTGCTCTCTTGCCTGCTGCATAGTAAAGGAAGCAATTCCGCCTAATCCATCCAGTATATTTTTAACGCCCTCCAATATAGCGTCGAGCGCCGCATCTGGCTCCCCATTATATAGTGCCGCTATAGCGGCCTTCCCTATTCCGTGCCAATGGTGGCGATGATAATGACTGTGATAATGGGGTCAAGTCTCCATGGATTGCGTATATATGATGGTGGTAATTCTCATGGTGTCGACTGCTCGAGGACTACACCCTTTTCGTAAATATTCGTCTCGAAGTCTTCTTTCGACAGATCCGGATGTTCTGCCCGGACTTTTGCCATCGCTCCCTTCTCGGCCTTATCGACCTCGTTGATCATGTCTTGTAGCTCAGACTCGCTTGGGTTCTGACCCATGGATCGCATGACCGTGCCCAACTCTTTGCTCGTCTAGAGGGATCGAGGGAAACTTGAGCGTGGGATTGGCCCCGTGTCCATCCTTCCACGGTCCTCCTTCCACGGTCCTCCATTCAGCGCCGCTTTCTGCGCCACATCCCCCTCCGTCGCCAACGATGAACTCAGCTTGAACAGGTTTGACTGATGCTTCAGCCTGGCAATCGAAGATCGAAGGGTCTTGAATGTTGACTATAATCCATTCCTCACCATCCCTTCCCTGCTGTCGAGCCTGGTCCCAAGGTAACCTCGACATTCATTCGAACGGCGGTTGATAAGTTTGAGCAAGTAGATTCGACTTTGAGGATGCTTCTGATGCTCCTGAGCCGGAGCATCGAGTCCAGCGGTGGGCGCAGATTGCGCAAGGTCAATCGTTGCTCCCGCTTTCCCACCCCGCATGAGATCTGTGCAGGTAACCAAGATCTGCAGCGTCCTCTCCTGTATATCTAGCACGACCAAACTTTCGCTGGGATTGAAGCCTGTGCCCATAAGAAGGCTCTGGATAGGACTCAAGTCCGCCTCCCGGGAGACAATATCTCCAGCCCCCGCCACGCTCAGCGTCAAGTCCGTCAATTTCCCCGCAACGACGAAAACCCCCTCGTCCGTCGTCGTGCATGACAATGTCAGCATCTGGTGAAATTGCATCTTCCTGGCCCTCCGCTTCACTCCCTCCGAAAAGCGAATCGTGGTCATCCGATGCCCCTTGCTCCACGCTTTCTTCGTGTAAGACTTGCTGGACGCTAGCGTCGTCTGAACCGCCCACATGCTCCATTCGCCGTTTCCGATTCGAAAAGCGCGTTTTTCCAATCTTGATGGCGGTCTGGCCGTTCCAGGTGCGTAGGTCGACGGACGTGGTCTGCATCAGCTCGACTTCGTACTGGCTGTCCGTCGAAGCGCGGAAGGTGACTTCCGAAGTCCCGTGGCTGGGGCAGACGAGATTGCGGTAGGTGAGGTCGGTGTCTCCGACGAGATGCGTGTGGTGAGTGCGGCGAACCAGGCGGTATTTGCCGGCGCTCTTGATGACCGTCATCCTCAACCAACGTCTTCTCTTCATCTTCCGGCATCAGTGGTGGCAGGACCTAGACGAGATCCTCGAGGCAAGATCTGATCTTGTCAGACCCCTCACGCTTATCCCAGCTGGTGGCTCCAGCGGTTTCGCAAAAGTGCCTAGACCTGTCAGAAAAGGCGCTTGCCTTGGCAAGGGTTTTGAATTCGGTGGTACCTTCTCTGGTGCCGTCGGTGAATGGGGGCCTGTGGGCAGGATTTAGTCAGCATCGATGCTTCAAAGAAATTGAAAACAGCAGCTCTTACATTCGAGCTCGGGTAATTTATTTATTTATATATAGTTTGCGCAAAATACCCGTTGCGTCGATAGGACCAGGTTGAGCTTCGACTGCATTCTGTTCGAAGATATTCATGTCAGCTTCGTTTGCAGCAGACACGATATGTCAGTCATTAGTCTTGAGCAATGGTTAAGCGACCGGTCTTACTTACATTTTACCTGAGATCCTCTCCGCATGCGACTTCTCTGTCGTCAGTGCTCTGACTCTGCTGCGCGACCGATCCCAGCGGCAGCAGCGTTGCGCTTGTTAAAAGGACTAGTAGACGATCCAGCGTCAGTCACCTTGCGTTTGGGAGCCATGTTTATCAAAGTAGATGCGATATCTGCAGAGAAATTTGGAAACGGAATAGTCCATGAAGCATTCGATCCGGTTCCGAAAGCATCTGCGTCGGCGGAGTGGAAGCATAGGCGTTCTGATGCAGGCAGTGAGCAAAGGGGTCTTCCAGATCCCGAACCTGCTGCAAATATGCGGCTTGAACGCTGCCTTTCTGCTGTTGGCGTTGATTGCCAGTCGCGGATTGATGCATGTTTGGCTGACCAACATAGGACTGGGGATAGTTGAGGCCCGTGTGGTTTGCCTGAGGTACTTGCTGCGTCTGGTATGAGTGTCTTTGAGAGGGCAGGATGGTGGAAGCCTGTGTCTGATGCTGCATGTGCGGCGGTTGGCTAGGTCCGGGGCAAAAAAGTAGCGACTCCGACACTCAGGGCGCTGAGCATCTTCTGTCTCCGCACACGGACGCTCCACCCCGCCTCCGCCACCTCAAAGCCAACTCCACCCACACATCTCCGTCTTCCGCCCTTGGTCCTCGGAAGTGAAACGGCTCCGTCGCCTCATCGGATACCAAAGTCTTCGACACGACCTTCGTTCGCCTCCTTCTCCTCCGTCAACATGGACATCTCCATATGCCCCTCCGGCTCTTGTGGAATACAAGCGTACGGCTTGTTTGCCTTGGCAAGCTGTTCGCCGATGAAGTCGTGGGTTGAGTCCTGCAGTTTTTTTTTATATATATAGTGCGGTTGTCAGCTAGTCCTCGACCATCCAGGGCCGCGTCAGCTTGTTGCTCAGTCTTAGGATGGAATGCTTTTTCGACCATAGCCAGGTTTTCTCCCTTGGGCTATACTGTTGAAGCGGACTGGACCTTTTGCTGCCTCCCTCACGGCCTCGCTGCTTGTCGAGTATCAACATTTTCCATGATCCTGGGCCTGCGCTACTTTCTTTCCCTCGCGTTGTCATCATCATTGTTGAGAGTGCTCGAACGTTTGTCCCATTCGACCTCTCGCTCTTGATCGACTCCATCAATATGCACACTATCATCATCTGGGGCTTCAAGGTTTCAGTCGTCTCATCGCCCTTGGCGAGCGCTGTTTGGATTGATCTCTTTGCGACAAGCAGAATGCGTTCGAAGAGGTAGAATTTGTACTGTTCACGTACGAGCGATCCAATCGCTGAATCAACAGCAACCTGGTTTTCGAGAGACTTGCGTTCCCGGCTTGCTTTGGAGAGGTTGGTACTGTGCCGAGACTTGTAAAGGTCGGGCTCAGGATCTCAATGTCTTTTAGAAGAGCGTTGGATGAGCCGCTTGGGTTGCATCAGAGGCCGGCGGTACTCGCAATTTTGTCATCGTCTATGGGCTCTTGATTCGCATCGCTCGCGAATGCATCATTGTTGGTTGGAGCTCGAGCGAACCTGTCTTTTCTTCTTCTTCCAACTGTATGATACGCTCTTGAAGGCTTTGTATTGTACTCTTGGCATCTGCCTCGGCTTTCTGCGCTTTGGAAAGGTTCTTTGGAGAGCTCGACGAGGTTGACAGAGGCCTGAGCTTCGAGATGCGATACTCTATCACCAGTAGTATCTTCCAGGTCAACGACTTTCTCATCCCTCTGCCCTGCCTTTACTTTCTGCTCTTCTCCAAACCGTTTAGTCTGTTCTTGGAGGATTTGAGCCGCGTTTTCTAGCGGGAGCAGGCTAGTACTAGTACCAAGGCTGGTCAGAGCTTCTGGATTCGACATCCTGCCGGTGATGCGTTCCGTACATAGGCATTGGTGAGACATCTTGCTCCGAGTGTTTGGGCTTCTTTGCGATGCCGTACCCGTGGTAGCTTAAGCGTGTCTGGCTTTTTCTGCTTGCCAGGCTTGATAGTAGTTTGAGGCTGGTCTTCCTTGGATTCCGCAATCCCGTTCCACCGCAGTTGATCGTACTCATACTTAGCATAATCGGTGGAAAAGCTTGCGTAATCATCAGTATCTGTACCATCCTTTGCTCCTCGTCCTCGGCAGACGACAGTGACAAAAGTCTCCGAAGCTCATGTCTAGACATGTCTCATCGCCAATAAAGGTGACTTTTTCCTGGACTTGAAGTGGAAGCAGACCCTGAAAGCTAGGCGCTGTTCTGGAAGGTGCGATAGGCGAGGCCGATACGTAGAGAGCTGACCGATCTCGAAAACGAGAGATATCGAAGGGCACATTGAAAGACGTGGGCTCTGTCATTCGCGTAGCTAGGCACCTGGGCGATCCATGAACACCGCACCAGCTTGGCGTCTTGAGGTCAATCATCTCAGACCGCACTCTGCATACCACCTTTCCCTTGACCTTCTCCGACCTTGTATCTATATTTTGATATATAGCCAGCACGTTGTAACGATGCGGCACTTTTGTGAGGCAATGCGGGCGTTTTACGCCTATCAAATTGTCAGTATGTTAGACCGAAAAGAATATCGGACTACTGACCGACGATGAGTACTGCAGGAACGCGATCTCGTTGGTGGTTTAGGAATGGCGCGACCTTGTTCGATAAGATACTCTGGTCTTCAGCCTTTTCCGTCTTGTCGGACCCGTTAAATTTCGTCCCTCCGCTGCTATTTCTATGACTTAGCATCAGACAGACTACTCTCAAAACCGCGACTTACAGTCTGATAATGAAGATTTTGCGGTCCATGTATCCCAGCTTGTCGTTATCATTGTGCAAAAGGAAGCCATTGAAGTAGCCACCTTTGCTACCCTCACCACCCCAAGAGGGGCTTGCAGACGCTTAAGGACGTCAATGAGGACAGCGTAGGACTTGGCGACATTACGTTCCTTGAACTGCCAGTACTTCGACTTGACCCTGGAGTTCAAGGTGACTGCACCACCTAGCGACAATGATGCGATGTCAGGCCCGACATCCTTCTCACCATCTTCGCGCATCTAGAACTCGTCAGCAACCGAGACAAAGAATAATTCTATCGGAGTTGAAAAGGACTTACCCCGATCCCCTGTTTCTCCATGTATCCTAGGCACAGCAACTCGTTGAACGGCCTGTATGAGCCATCCTGAATTGCATTTTGCCCAGCCCAGGTCAGACGGGAGATTTGCCGGTAGGAGAGGCTGAATCTGCCGAGAGCTGATGATGATATCAGACCGGAGATATCGAAATGAAAGTGGAGATATTTTTATATAGAAGAGAAGTGCCGACCATCGAATCTCTGGACTTGACGGAATGTGTGTTGTGTGCCTAGTCAGGACTTTGGAGTGGTGGACATCGCCGTGGCGATGGCTGCCAGCGCGACGCTTAGCCGGAGCTGCTATCGGACGTAGGACTTCATGGGGTGGTCTTTGCTTCACGGTACCAGGGCAATACCGTTACTAGTCACGAGGACTGCGTGGAAGTGCCACCCCATTGCTGGTGTGGTTTTCCTGGAGCTGCTGCTCTCGTTCAATCTGCTGGATGCGTGCGATGAAACCTGGCGGCGATCTGGGCTTCCATCAGGAACTGGCGACGGATCAGTATCTGCTCCCTACGCACTCGGTGTCTGCACAGGTCTTACTGGAGCCAATTTTGGCGCAGCGGAGTTACATGACTCTTGCAAGCCAATGTGGTAGTTGCCAGCCCCTCCTGCAAGGTTTCTCGAAAATTTGACTCTGAATGGAAAGATAAGCTGGGGCGCGCGCTGCGGAATTGCGTGGTCGTCTTCCCCCTCACCTGCTCAATAAACAGCAATAGCTTTGCGTGGTGCTTTTGATTGTGTCGTTCATCTGGATTGTCGATATCCGGAATTATCCGTATACCAGACCGCTGAAGAGACCCATGATGGCGGCGTTGATGAATACAGCCAAGGTGGTGTCGTCGGTCGTAGCGGTTCTTCGCTTTTGGATCCTCGCACTGGTGTGCCTTCGACACATACTACCAGCCATGGTCGCGGCCGCTTCCTTGGAGCCTTTTAACGTCACTGCTCAGGACCCTAAAGCTGCTAAGTCAGTTGAGTCAGCCCATCCTGTCTGCCTCAATTTAGCAGGTCCATGAATATGAAAGCGCTTGATCGTCCTGGACACAGTAAAAAGATATATTTGTCCTAGTGGTGGACGATAAATGTCAGTGCGATTATATACAAGGAACGCCGTTACTGCCTCCAAGCGGCATTTGAGATATTCTCTCGATCCCTCATCGCCTCTCGCTATCGTTGGTCATCTCCTCGGCCAGCATCAAGAGTAACGGAAGTCACACAGTTGTGCCGCACGTAATGCCTGCAGTGCGTGTCGGCCTCTTCAACTTCCGGCGGACCCTCTCCACTGACTTGAGTCTCTGTCCCCGTTACTTCATCCTCGGCACTGTGTCGATATAGAATAGCAGAAGAACAACCTGTCAAACCTTTCGCGAAGCTCGAGTGGAATTCGCTAAGGGATGTGCTTGTTCCAAGAGGTTGATGCTTCTGCGATGGTGACCAGCAGTGAGACGACCTGCATGGATTTTGCAAGCCCCTGAGAAGGAGCAAGCAGACGCCGTTGATGGTTTTGAAGATCGCCAGTGACCTCGCGCCACATGAACTTGAATTCCTTCTTTTGATGTGGTTTCATGTGAGCTCCATTACCAGACGCCGGATTATGCCGGACAAATTCCTCATCTTCAGGTTTGCTGGGGTTGACGATGACCTTCGTTCTTTGTCGATACTTCTCATGTGATTAACAGTGATGGTGTGCTGAATCCTCAGCTCTGTGCTCTCCACGCGACTTCTGGTATCCCACAACCTCACTGCCCCTTCTCTATAACCTTTGATGACGACGTTTGGACCCAGCCGGCCACAGCCACAGCTTCCCGCTGGCCCTGAATCCATGAAATCTCGACGCACTCTGTCAGAGAACTGCTTCAGTAACCGGAGGCGAGGATTGGCTTGAGATAGACATGAGCTTGGTCAAGGGGCGGGCTGGAGTTTCTCTTTGTAGAAATTTTTCGGTCGTCTCTGCCAGCTGCTTGCGATTCACCGGGTCTTCTATCCATCCATCCAGTGTTGGTATTGACGCAGGCTCTGTTGCTGGCTCATGATCTCGTCTTGAAGCTCAAGCAAGCGTTGGTGCATCCGTTTGACTTTGTCGATCTTCTCTTGTGGAGCATCCGTAGACTCAAAACCTTCGCGATACAGAACCTCATATTTAGCATGGTAGGTCCTGAAGTCAAGCTCCTGGATAAGGACCCTGGTGAGCTTTCATGAGACTGGTGTGATCGAGAACTGATCCGGCTCTTTCTTGGACTGAGCGCGGGTCTTGATTCGGGAGCTGTTCTGGACGATGAGATCTCCTTTGGTCTGGATGTTCCAGAGTCGCTCGTCGTGAAGCCGGTATATGTATATGCTCATCAACGCAATGACGTTCTGTCTGATGGCGTCGTATCCCGAGAAGCTGACAAAAGTCTCCAACCACTTTCTCTGTACGACTTCGAGACCTGTGCCACCGCTGGCGTCTTCAACCTGCAATTGGGTAAAGAAGTCCCTGTGCTCTCTTCAATGCATGGCTGGTAGCGAGCGGCGAGTTACTGCTTTCAGAAGTACATGGAGATGCGGTGGATGTTTTATGACGCTTTGTACCACTCGCTCGTCCATTGATTTGACCAGGACCATGGGTATGAATGTTGGAGTCCAGATCGTCAGCCTTGCGCTTCAGGGAAGCTCTGATGTATTCGGGTCGATCATTCAGCTCGGCATCATTGCATATGGTGGTAGAAAGCCGTCATAAGTCCAACGCTCCTTCACGAATGCTGGATTGTAATCCTGAGCCTCAGGCGCAAGGGCTCCGTTAAAGGCCCAGAATGAGACGCACTTGCCGTTGAGGCACATTCATCCTGACGCGAACATTTGCGGTTTCGTGACATTGCACTCGGAACGTTCCTTACGTAAAGCCTTGATATCGGTAGGGACGTAAACCTCTGGCAAGTCCTCAGCAGCATACCAGCTCTGGCTGTTAAGGTCCGTTTTCCTCGAAGCGGAATTTGACGACGACATGACCGTTGCTCTTTTCATCCCGATGATCAGTGATGTGGACATCTGGAGTCTCGGTGGGGGATCTTGGATGGCCAATGGATGTTATTTTGCTCGATGATCAGGCGCAGAGGTATCTACCATTTTTCGTTGGTGATGAAAGTCTTGATTCTGGCATTCTCCGAATCATGGTCTTTCATCTGGCAGATCTCGCCCGAATCATTCTTTCCAATGCCTCCTCCAACCCCTTCTCCACCTCCACAAGCCAGTCGCCGTCGACGCAGAAGAAGTATTTTTTTATATAGAATTTTGCGAGTGCTGGGATGTCCATGCCCGCCGATGCTGGTAATTCTCACGATTAAACGAAGGTTCAAAAGTCCTAGGGAAGGTCGTGTGTACACAATTCGTTACGGCCAAAGGTGGGAGACAACTTCGCGATGGCCTCTTGAGACGACATCACAAGCGGAGATAGTGAGAACAAGAAGACTCGGTGAAAAATCTAACATGTTCATCATGCGGGTTGTATTCTCGTCCAATGAATTCGACCCAAATTTTTGCTGCGGACCTCGAGCTCCATTTGGTCATCCTTGACAGCACGTCTGCGAAGATCGTGTCCGCGCAGTCCTTCTGCAGGTTTACGGAGGTGGCGCTGACCTTGACGCTGGTGACCAGGACTTGCACGGGGCAAGTCTTGTCATTGAACTGGGCGATCGCCGCCTCTCAGTCCTTGAGCCTATGCTTCGCACGGATGCTGATAACATTGAACCCCAGAACCATCAGGAGGATCTCTACTAGCCATACCGTGGAGGGCCAGTCGCAGAAAACAATGACCTTTCGGCCATTCTTATTACAGATCTGGTGGACGAGGTCGGCGATGTAGGAGAGTTTGACCGAGTTGCGCGTGAGATAGTATGCCATGCTGGCACGGTCGCGACAGACGGGCATGTCCGGGTCGGTCTTGGTCGAGTTAAAGAAGTAGGTGGCGCCGTGGTCTTGATGCTTATGGTAAAACTTCTCGATGACGGCGGGCCCCTCGTCGTTGTGATTGCTGAACTGCTTGAGCTTGCCCCTGATCATGGGATTCATCGGAGGTTGGGGAGCACTTGGGTTCGCTTTGGGTACTGATTGCGCTTTAGTCCCTTAACCACCCATTGGAGCCATCATTGCACCTGGTGGACCTACTTAGGCTACAGCTTCTTCAGCCTTCCGACGCTCTTGTCGCCTCTTCCGTAAATCAACGCATATATAGCGAACTCCGGGACCAGTCTCGGGCGATCGCTCCTCCTCCTAAGGATATTGTCAGTTGACGGACAAGGGAAGAGGGCCGGGCTATAACTACCTCACTGTCTGGCTCCCAGGCCTTTATATATAGAAACTTCATACCGAAAGGAATGAATGCTCTTTTGATGGAAAAAAATGTAGCACGATCAAAATGGACCGCAACAGACCCGTCTGCATCTGCGAACTCCCGACTGCCAAGCTTTCGCAGCATTCTCAGCTTCTTTGGGTTGAAATAGACAATACCTCCTGCTTTGATTTAGGTTTCTCGGCTGCACAATTGCTCTAGGGATGTCTGGAGTGCCATGCTCGGAGAAAAACTTCCGATGGTTGCCAGTGGCTTGAGAAATGTCGTCAAACTGTTTGTAATATGCCTTCGCCGGAGATGTGATCGAAGAACGAGGAGGCCTTGTAGCCTAGAGCAGCTGGGATGACGACACTGTGCTCTCTCTCTCAACGACCACCAGTGATTGAGACTTCTGCGAATATCTCAATGGTGCTGTCGAGAGAGCGGTCAACTGATGCGCTGAGCACAGTCAGCTTTTTGTAATTTCCAGCCATTGATGTGCCTTACTTACTAGCTCACTGGCAAAATGGGCCCACGCCACGCGATCCTGTACCAATGTACCGAAGGGGACTGAGTTGCGCTTCGGATGGCAACTGGCTGTCCACTGGTGAGCTGGTTTTGGCTCCGGTCGAGGGGAGCTCGACCTTCGACCATGTGTAAGAGAACTGGAGGCATTAGAACTTTTTCCGCTTGTGTTGGAAGGTGGCTAGTACCGGAATGTTCTGAACGTGGCAATGTTTGATCAGAATGTTTGAGGAAATGTCAACGCTTTGAATCGCCTTTGGCTCCAGGAGCATTCAGATTGTGAATGTCAGGAGTACTAGCGGAGCGAAGACGACTCGGCTGACCTTGTTGCTGTTGAGGATTTTGAGATGCTGCTATGGTAGGCAAGGATGACCGTGTGAATTTTCGACGGAGAGCCTGAAGTCACCAAGATGGTCAGCATTGTCAATGATCATGTGGACAAGTGCTTCAATACTCACATCAAGGTCGGCCTATGGCCATGAATCGACCCAAGCTGCCTGTGGATCCAACCACAAATTCCATGCGTTTCGCGCCCGCTTCTTCGGGACCGGTAGGGCCAGCTTCAGGAGAAGCCGCACGGTGTTGCTGGTATTGAGGCGGTGGCGGCATCTGGGGAGGGACAGAGTTTCGTGGAGACGCAGAGACCTATCAGCAACCCAGTCAAGTTCAGAGTTAGCTATGCAACCAAATTGCTCAGGCCTCGTGGTACGTACCGAAAGGAAGAAAGAGATATTTTTATATAAATGGATGCGATTAACGTCTGCCCACGACGGTGGTTACTAGACTCACTCGCTTCCATTAGTCTTTGGTCAGCAGATATCCATCCACAAGTTTTCAGCATCGCAATTTTGGCACAGCAAAACCAGAAACTTCCGCAATGATAACTTCAGCGTATGTTGTCTATCAGTGATATGCAAGTCTTTCGCCTGTCTTGTGATGATAAATATTCCTTCTCGCTTCGCCCAAAGAACTTCGCCACTCCTCCAATACTCACATTGCTACCCTCCACTGCGTGATACGATGAGCTGATATCTCGACGATTCTTGCAGGTATCATCCGTCTCGGCATGGCGGCATGTCACAACATAGATCAGCTTGCCTTCCGCAGATTGCCATGCTACAGCTTGTTAGTTTCTTGCATCAACCGCAACATGGAGCCATGACATACATTTCAATGCTTTTGCGACTTCATCCCCCTTAGTGGGATTGATAGTAAATCATAGGAGTATTCCGAGTGAGCTTGCGAGGGGCGTCCGTGTTGTTGTCCCAGATTCGCTTGTACTGGTGCTGTAGCGAAGATCCTTGTTTCCGCATGGCCTCAATCTGCTGGCCCTTCTGTACCCTCATCGCGCTGGACCTGTTGCATCGTGTCTGCTTTTCCGTGTTGGAGGCTCTGAAAGCTTTTCTTCATGGCAGTAATGAAGGACTGCGAATTTGCATTTTCTGCTTTTAGTGTTTGCGCTTGTCTGACGAAATTGAACATGAGCGACCTGACCTCCCCATCGTTGTAATTGGGTTTGGTTCCCAACCGTCGGCGACTATACTGTGGTCCAACGGCAGCCATTGCGCCATCTTTGGTTACGGATGGGCCGGTCATGTCTTGATGGTTCGAGGGTTGTGTCAAGACTTGACAAGGATAGACTGCAAAGGTGTGTTTTCTGCTCTCAGTATTCGCGCTCGGCCGTATCAACTGGACAGAAAGGAGTTGAGTCTCGTTTTCCATCGTCGGCGACCGTACTGCGATTCATCAGCTGCTATGGCCTCATCTTTGCACCTGGAAAGGCCGGTTGACTTTCGGTGGTTAGAAGGGTCGTTTCATGACATGGTTTACCCGCAGCGTCAAAGATCTAAGCTTCATGATATTGACAAGGTCTTGAATCCCGCAGAAACTTTGACATTGACGGTGACAGACACAGCCGCCTAAAAGCTTCTTCAGCATATCGTGAGGCACGGTCTAAGACTTCAGGTGCTCGAGAATGAACTTCATCGGCGAGCCGTCGAAGAAGCTGTCATCTTGCTGATCGAACCTGAAGTGCGTAGGGTGTAGATGTATGACGAGCGACGGCGATTTGCTCCAATACTTCTTCAAGACATGTGGCTGCGTTTTGACATATGGCGCAGGCATCGTCTTTGGCACCCTTTGCCCATCGAGTCCTTTCCCACTCCGATTTAGTCTTAAGTCTCCCGGTTTCTGTGGTTCTCTCCTCCCGTTGCTTAAGTGCGACGCCAATGCATTGATATTGCCATTGACACCATTGGCGATGGGCGCGGGAGGGGGTTGTTTGAAACTGGAGCCAGAGGGCGGAAGTGGTCGGGGGCTTGGGTAGCTGGAGCCAGAAGGTCCTTCTGGGATGTATCAGTTCTGCGCAGGCAAGGCTTGGATAATATGAGTGCTTTACCATGGTCGTCAGAGTTTGCGGTATAAGAAAGAAAAAACAATAACAAACCATAGGTGGAAGTTATATATACATGGCCACTCATGCCAGGCACAAGAGCCCATTCAAGGACTCAACACCACGCTCCTCGAGAGTCGATTGCACCTGAGTAGCACTCCCAGCTGCTGGCACTGTCTTGTTGTATGGCGGCTTCCATCTCCGCCATGCTGCGATGGTCCGTGTAGCGCAACGCTTGTGGATTTCCACACTGCGAGCCACATCTTGGGCAACAGAGTTTGCCCTTGCCGTGATTGAACGCTCGAAACAGCTCAAGTCACGGTCGGCACGAAAGCTACAACGGTCCGGTCAGTGAGAGTCTGATCTTTCTCTCGCTCCATCTTCGCGGTTCTTTCGTTCGGCGTATAACCACCGCCACTGCCGTTGAAGTCAGCATCGAGATCATCAGCGATGGAAATTTATTCTCACGGATCGATGACCAACTGTTTCGCTGCCAAGTATATTTATTTGTAGTGTTATAGTAGAGAGGGCGGGTGAAAGAGTTCGAATATAACCAAGGTCCTGGTAAGGTCGAGGATACTCCACCAAAGATCTGTGTGGCTTGGAGACATCTGCAGACGAACCCCAGATCAGCGTATGACATGCTGAGAGGTGGGAGGTAATCTTACTGATCATGCTAACTGCAGGATCCATATACAGGGGATACAGGTTAGGGTCAATTGTGCGACGATGTTGATTCGGGATGCTTGATTGACATTTGTGTGACAAGTACTTCCCCAGCCTTGAGATGTATTACACCTCGTATGTTGAGCCATCGAAAGACGCCGGGTGTTTGGTGCATGCACTGCTGGCTGTAACGTTGGATGGCTGGAATCTTAACAATGTATGGCTGCAGGAGAACGGGGCACTGCTGTGATCTTCTGGTCCAGGAGCTCCCTTCGAACAAGGAGTCCGTTGGCTTTTGGTGTCTCCTGCTCGGGTTCGAATTTGGTGTTATCGTCGCACAGCAACTTCCGCTTCTTGGAGGGTGATGGAGTCTGGGAGATCCTCGTCCTTCTTGACGACATGTCGGGAATTCTCCATGACTGATCGCATTTGTGAAACACGACTTTGGTACCAACAACAGGGTTTTCCCACTTCTCGAAAGACATTGTATGACCCTCTGTATGGTCGGGGGCAAGGGTGCTTGCAGGGCGAACTGTGTGCCGAAAAGATATTTCGTAGGTACAACCTTCGGTTCCGCAGTCCCACTCGTCCGACTCGGACCTTGAGTAACATCTGCTCCATCCTCCGTATTGAAGGCAGGAAACGAACTGGGAAGTCGGAAATGGTAGCCTTCTTTATTCACCTCAGAACGGTAGCTTTCATGAGTCCCAATTCTCATCGCATCCATCCGTACGAAGTCCTGAACCTCGTCATTCCATACCATATCAAACTTCTCCTGGCAAGTGGGACGTGGCTGGTTGGCAAGAGCTAGGCGCGGTTCGTGAAGGCCTACGACGTTTGAAGTCATGGAACTACAATCGTCTTCTTTCTGGTTTGCGCCATTCGAGCCAGAAGACTTTGGATCGCTGTAAGCAAACGACTTTCTCTGCAGTGGTGCAACTTACTCTGCGACTGTCAATCAGGGATACATGCGCATCAATGCCTCTCATCTCCATCTCTCGATGTCGGTCGACAAGGTTTCGTTCAGTCCTTGCCACAATCTTTGACCGAAGAGCACTCCCCTCGTCGACGCTTTCCTGGTGACACGTCAGTGATCTTGTGGTACAGCTGGATTGCTCTATCCAGTAGGTGTTCACGCTTCATCACCTACCTTCAGTCACTCCTCCGGAGTTTTGATCTTTTCCTTCGCGGGGTTGCTGTCGCTCGAATAGCTCCTGGCCGAGCACGCGGCATCCCCCAATCCCTCCAGAACGCGATGGCTGACAGAGACATAGACGGACTTGTTGCTTGGCTACTCACAAGGTGGAGTCGGCAGTGAGGGTGGCCCGAAGCTGTTGAAAGAACCCAGATCCTCGTCGAAGCCAGCGAAGGGAAATGTCGTGTTATATATTTACCATACGTGGTAAATTCGGAATGCGAAAGAGAAAATCGTTGATTTGATGTTAAAGATGTTTGTTGCTGGCTAGTCGGGAACCTCGCGCATGAAGATCGAAGTGCAGGCTTCCTCGTCGAAGGGTTTCTCCAATCGCAACAGGAGTCCACTCTTTGGAATGATGCTTTGTTCTACTGGTTTTGACGAGAAGCCGTGCCCGCGTGAGACGTTTGACTCTCTGTCGAGTAGAATTTGATGCCTCTGACGGTTGTCCTGTCGTTGGACTCGTCAAAAGGCGTCCATGTTAACGTTTTTGATGCTACTGATGATGATTTTGACGATAATGATGATGATAATGATAATGACATTAAAAAATGATTGAAATAAGATTTTTGTCCAAGGCGTCATTGTCGCTGTGGGTGGGTCCTAGACACCCATGTCCGATCGATCGTGCTGGAGAGAGAATGGCCAAAGTGTGTGTCGCTCGACTCCTTTGGATGGAGCCAGGGTACCGTTGATAGGAAGCTTGGGGATTGATGGCCATCACAGAAGCTCCTGCGCGCATCAACCATGTAGTCCCTGCCCTTGAGTTGGCACTTATTGAGGCAAGGCCGTGCCAACGCAACAGGTTGGTTTATGAGAAAGTAGTCGAGATGCGGTAGGGGTTCGATGCTGGGGTTGGAAGAGTATTTGGAGAGGACGATGCCAGATCACGAGGATGTCGCCGGAAATGTGGCCGGGGTTTGATGAGTTTCGTGCAAAAGATCCAAAAGCAGAGGGTCAATATCCCGGTGAAGGGCTCAACGGAGCGGCTGATTCTTTGGGTGTTGAGATAAATCCAGGGTGTGGAGAGGAGTACGGCGTCGTAGAAGAGGGCGAAGTTGACGAAGGAGGTGAGGTAGACGGCGTAAATAGACCATGGCTGCGTGGTCCAGGTTCGGCTCGATAGGAGGCTGAGAGGGTTGCTGCGCCAGGTCGTGCGCGCCCACCTCATGCATTGGGAGAGGAATTTGGGATATTCCCCCAGCGTGGTTTCGATGCAGGCGTCCTCCGAGTATTGGATCTTGAGTTTCCAGCCGTGCTCGACCATCCAGCGTGTGATGAAGTTGTCATCGTCGGCATTCAGAGGACCGATTAGGCCGAAGAGGATGTATTCATTCAGAAAGCCAGTGCGGAATGATTGCGGTTGAAGGATCTCCGTGCGGTGAGCCGACGTGCGTCCACGTGCTCTGAGACCCTTCCATGTACTCTTCACCCATCCGCCGAGTCTGGTAATCACGACTTTCTCGTCCATATAGCCATAGTCGTCATTATCGTTATCTAAGAGAAAGCCGTACGCATAACCAGCCGACCCATTTGAGCTTCCCCAAGTGTAGGCACCTGACTGGTATGCCTGGTAGCAAGTTAGCGACTCGCATAATGCTCGTCGCATCTCTGCCCACACTTCTGGCTGGCCTCGAGGCTCAGGGCGAGCTTTGTTGTCTGAATTCAGCGCGACTTTGGCTCTTAATACTGCCCTTTGCTTAGGAGCGGAAGACTCCAGACGTTGCTTCTTCAGGGTCGTACCTTGACGTAACGATGGTACAAACAGATCAGACTCGTCGTTGCTGTCAGCAAGCGCAGCGCTTCTCCTCTTCGAATTGTCAGAGGAAGATTCCAGATTTGGTTTAGAATCGTTCTCGAAGAGGCGAAGGCGACTGAGGGACCTCACGCAAAGCTGAAGCAGATAGCGGTTGCTTAACCGCTTCGGTGACAGTGGATGTGTTTTGGTTATTTTTATATAGGTATGGGAACCACCCGAGAAATTGGAGGAAAGGAATTGTATATGTTGTCTAAACTTGGAGGGTCAGCGCAGTGTTTGATGAAGAGAAGGCCTTGAAATACAGTATGTGCCTGACGAAACACTCTGGACTAACCGCTTGTATGGCAGCAGGATGAAGGAAGTTGCTTTCCCTCCGAGACAACATGGCGCATACGAGTATGTAGCTCGACAAAGACTAGACATAGAACAAGGTGATATGAATAGCAGTTGTTGTAGGGAGGGACTTGGGTGAGTTTCTTTGGTGTCGCACGATCAACCAGCGACCTCAAAGACGAGCAACATCGTAGCACATCCGTCGAGCTCTACTGCGAGTGGTGCAGCTTAGCCAGCTTCTCGTGCTCTGGTTGAGGTCATGCATGTCAGTTGTGGGAGATGGTAAGGGAGGTGAGGGCACTTACTTTCTGCCAGGTAGCACCACGGTCAAAAGCCTCGTGTGAGCGACAGCATGGATAACGTCGAAGATAAGGGTATGGTCTAGGAGCTCGAGCTCTGTTGGGTGAGGAGTGCAGCCTAGCCAATCTGGTAGTGCTCTGGTTGAGGTCATGCTTTGGTTGAGGTCGTGCTCTGGTTGAGGTCATGCTTTGGCTGAGGTCGTGCTCTGGTTGAGGTCGTGCCTGTCAGATGCGTAAGGAGACAGTCTCAGAGCTGAGGCTACTCACTGTTTGCTAGGTATCGCTAATGTCGGAAGCTTTGCACCAAAGACAGCACAAACCTCTTCGAGGATACTTTAGCTGAATTCATGCATGTTGGTCGCGAATGGAGGTAGGTTTGGAGGTGAGGGTACTGACTCTTGTCCAGTGACTGCCACGGTCGGAATGTTTGTATGAACGGCACCAACGATATTCTCGAGGGTATGGACATGGATGTATAATGTCTTGAGGAATATGTTGAGCTTGTTCCAGTATAGGCTTGTGTAAGAACTGTCTTGAAGGATATTATGAACAACTGCGAAGGTATAGGACTGGTGAAGGAGTTGTCTTGAAGAAATGTTGTAGGTTGGAGGGAGATCGTGGGTTATATAGGTAAGGATGCTCCTGGAGTCACTTTACCTTGGCCTAGGACGCTCACAGCGTGAAGCTGTCGAAAGGAAGGGTTTGAAGGTATAGGACTGGTGAAGGAGTTGTCTTGAAGAAAAGTTGTAAGTTGGAGGGAGATCGTGAGTTATATAGGTAAGGATGCTCCTGGAGTCACTTCGTCTTGGCCTAGGACGTCCACAACGTGAAGCTGTCAAAAGGAAGGTTCCCAAGGGGCCATCCATGACTATCGCTCGGTGAAGGGTGTGGCATGAAGGTTTCCAAGGGTCTAGTATAGATTGTGGATAGGTGTGGGCCCTTTGTGGGCGGGTAGGGTCAGAAGACTTACTTCACAGGATGAGTTGGATTCTGAGCTGCAGGATGAAGGTCATCTCCAAAGAATACGGAGTAAACTGTTGTGAATCTATTGGAGATCGTCGATCAGTTGGCGGGCTTTGTGGGTCAGTAGGGATTTGGTACCTACTTCACCTTGCGATCGACAAGGGCTGAAGTGGCGGTGTGAAAAGCTTTTCCGGATGTGACTGCGGAGTTCCACTAGCTGCAGCTTGCAATGCGGGCAGCTGCTGTGACTCTAATGGAGGTATTTGATGAATTAGTGGGCCTTGTGGGCTAGAAGGGACGTGGAATATACTTCACCATTGCCACCACCAAGGTCTGAAGCTGCAATGTGAAGAGCATGACTGGGTATGCTTGCAGAGCTGTACCAGCTGCAGCTTGAATTACAGGCAGTCGCTGTGACTCTACTGGTGGTCTTCGATGAATTTGTGGGCCTTGTGGGCTAGAAGGGATGTGGGACATACTTCACCCTTGCCAGCGATAGGGCTTGAAGCTGCAACGTGAGGAGCAACGCTGGGTATGCTTGCGGAGCTCTACCAGTTGCAGCCTCGGTCAAGGGTGGCTGTCAATCGATAGTCGATGGGTAGGGGGCCTGGTTGGCCAGAAAAAGCGGGTGCTTACATCGAAATTGCGCCCGTCGGGATCTCCAATCCCGGCGTGAAGATTGTCAGTGAAGGTCAGCAGAGAGTGCCAAAATATGGAGCTTATTTGTTTAGAAGATACAGTCACTCTAGCTGCGAGTGTGAGAGACCGTGTAGATTATTGGAGGCTTAGGTAGGTGCCATCACTGATCCATTGGCCAGGTATCCCTCTTCTGAGAACTCCGCATTTAAGGACAGCAGCATGTGCATGATATAGAGATCGAAATGGTATGCTAGCCAGTATACGAGTCTCGAGATCATCGATTGTCTGGTGGTTGGCAACGAATTAAAAAAGTATGTGTGTTGGTGTGTTTAAAAGTAAGAGGGAAAACTTAAGAAGTGAGAGCGAAGATCACTGCGAAGTCTGTCAGTGACGCTGCGCTAGGCTGTTCGTACTTTCTTCCCCATTCTTACCTAGAGCTTAGTAGGTGGGTTTTGGAGGGAGAGGACAGAGTTGACAAACGACGGCTAGGATTGTATATAATTTCCAGAAGGATTGGAAGCTTTACTACAATGCCCTTCCAAGAGTAGGAAGCAAGGGGTTGTTTGTTTGTAATAAGACAAAAAGGTCTTTCGGCAGCGAATCAGAAGTATACATTATGTAGATAGGCAGCTGGGTGCACACATGTCGTCTGCAATCATTAAAGCCATAGTGTGGTGATGGGATTTGAAGTGAAAAAGAAGGAAAATCATGACTAAGCCAAGTTTAACCAGCATCGGCGCACCCCTCAGCACTTTAATTAGACGGAAGAAGTCGTAACAATGTTCCCAGTAAAAGTCTAGTGGGACCTGATTCACACCAAAACTCGCTTGCCCCTACGCTCTTCAGTTTTTGTCTCTTTTTGACCAGACACGAAGACCAGTAACGAAGTTTTTTGCAAAAAGAAGAGAAAACTTTGTCGAAGCTGAATTTACAGAAAGATGTGACTCCGTCTAAGTCTTTTACTTCCTTTCATCGATTTTTTAACCAAAATTCTAGAGCGAGCGAAGAAACACTATATCTAAACCAGATATACAGCAAATTTGGCAGGTTGCTAGGCTTTGAGTGAGAGGTAACCGCTGTACACACCCATTTCTTTACACGTACGCTCTCTTGAATGAGAGTAGTTCTTTGCAATGCCGGCATCGATTTCAAGGGAATGGCGGTTCTTACATACCGATTCGTCAATTTTTCCCTGCTCCATAAATCATTGTAAGAGTGACTTCTAAAACTTCAAACGAGCCCAGAAAATACTTGGGCTCTAATACCTTGCACATATACTACATCCACCCTCTAAGTGTGGTGCCTGCTATGTCTCCCTGGAGCAGGTTCTTTCGCAACGGATGCACTCTGTGGGTGGCAAAATATCCCGAGTAAGGTGCTATCGGGACAAGTTCCCGATTATGGAGTTGCACCCTGGGGAAAGGTATGGGGAACTGAAGCAGGTTGACAGGTGTCACAACTTTTTGCCAACATACTTGTTTTGGAAGACCGAATCTATAAGACCTTGGCTTTTTTTCCTTCTTCAACTGCAGTCAGCCAAGATTCCTTGGTCTCGTGAGACTTTTCTATGCATACTACAGACTCGAGTGGACTCTGATTCCAAAACCTTTGATGGAAGGAATAGACTGAGGCTTCAGTAACTGCTGGGACACTCCAAAAAACAGAAAATGTATATCAGCTAGCTTGAATGCTCATTTATCTGCATTAAAGCAGACCCCAGAGACATCAGAACTTGATTCACCACTGCTTGTCAGAACAGGCCCAGATGTTGATATGACTAAGGAGCAAGTGTTTCTATTCGTTGACCTTACTTTGAAAATAATACCGTCTCTACACGTAAGTCGACCGACTGTCGTTTAACTTGACGGCGGGTCGTGTAAATAAGCGCTTGCCGCCCGTAGATAGCAGTGAGGTCTATCAACGAGCTTTTTGTGGTGTTTAAAATGAATATTTCCCTTGCTATATCGACTGTCGCGTCTATCGGCAAACTACTTAAAGTAAAGCAACAAGGTGTCACTCCTCTCTTTTGTAGTCCTTATAACCTTAGCGCTAATACCCGCCCGTCCCTTCCCGTCTTTGGGGCGACTGAAGAGTGAAGTGATGAAGACCAAGCTTGTTTAGACAGCGTGACTTTGAGGCAGAAAAATATGCAGGGTCGTCTAGAAGCTTGACTAGATGGATCAGCCTAAGATTGACGGAGAAAGAAAGTACTAGGCAAAACGGCTTCTTGCATAGCGGCCACAAAATTTCTTAACCCTGAATCTACATCGTCCTGCGTTCTGCTGCAAAAGCAATGTCTTATGCTACAGCTAAATTAAAATCTTGGCGAGAAGCAGGCTTATCTTCTAGTCTACACAACATTAATCCAACGCGATTTTGGAGCCGCCTATTGGATCCTAACCGCTGATTCGGAGTCCCTCATCATCAAGGCACGACAACATGGTTACACAAATCTTGAGGTTCATACGGTAAGAGCATCGGGCGAAAGTTATGCATAAGCGGAAACTTGGTGGGTCGGAAAACTGAAGGTTCTAAGTCGAAAACCAGAGTCAGAATTGAATCTCATTTGTCCCACAGAATAGACGGCGCAATCATCTAAGTTGGCCTTGCAAAATATGAGACTCATTCCGTCTTTGAGTGCTGTGCTTGACAACAGATGTATTGCAGTCCATACTTTACAGCATGCCAGCAGCGTCTGACACCTTACCCGGGATGATCCCGGTAATGCGCCAGCACAGGTCCACTTGAATGACCCTAGTGATAACATCATACAGTAGGCCAGGTATTCGTGGTCTTATTTTGGGTCGCAATCTCCGAGACGGGGAGAGGGAGATCCATGACGGGGAAAGAGCCCGAAAGCAAGTGCCGGGCTGCATGGAATACATCAACCAATAGACGTTCACCCTGAGACAGCGAGAAATTGGCTTTTAAGCGCCCCCTCCCCGGAAAGTAGGGATCATCGTACGTATACACCCTTCTCTGATACATGGATATGCTCTCAGATCTTGGTAGTGTCCGCAATCACGGCTCACGTGGAAGAAATTTTCTCACATGCTTCCCGATCAAAGCAGTCGAATCCGTTCTGCAGATTTGCCACAAAACAAAGCGACTTTGATCTGCAATGCAAAAAACTCCTCACAACCTTAAGTTTTAAAGTGGTCGGACCCGTCTTCTGCAGCAGTGTCTTAGTGCAACAGTATACTTCACACTATGTTTTAACATACACCCAAAAATGCCTCACGCCTTTGCAGATGTCCGAGGACTCATATCCCGGGGGAAGTCTCTCGCCAAGCAAAAGAATAAGCAGGTGTGCTATGGCAATCCGGACAAGGCTGAGTATTACTCTGCGCGTTCTCTGCTTCTCCTATTCGGGTCCGCGGTCTTTTAGCCGCGCTACTTTTACCGGCTTACCTTATCATACAAATGAATCTTAAGTAGGCCACCCCCTCCAGAAGAACTCAATGTAAGGTAGAAGTGCATCGTACTAAGCGTCTAACCGCTTAGCGAATAGCGGGTTGGACTGTGGCACAAGCCATTATCTGTAGCTGTGTTAGTGTATCTGATAGTGGGAGAACAGGGACGACGTTTTACATAGAGTAACATCGGTAGCAAAATGGCATGTGAGGGAGCTCTCAGTGAACGTCTGACAAACAAGCACTGAACAAAGGGGACGTCTCCAGGCAGTCCTAGCAAACATAGCTCCAAACATACATCTCCAGTACGCCAAAGATATAACTTTTTTGGTCACCTTGTTCGACTCTGAAAGTGTGTCCCACACTCCTGCACTCTCACTCTGAAAGGTTGCGGTTCTTTTGACCGGGGCTGAAGGCCTTTAATGATTCTCGCACAGGCAGCCACGGCTCTCTACTTGCCCCTCGCAACACACAGCACCAGATGTAACGTCTCGTACACTGCGTATTCCACCTGTCGTCTCCTCATTCAACGCCTTATCAGTCTACCGTCGATACGGACGAGGCCTCCAAAGAAGAAGCTACCCGCGATACTCAGGTATTTCAATCAAATCGCCGGGCGGTGTAAACGTTTCGTTACCCCCTTTGAAGCGTCTACATTGGACTAACCTATACTCTATACTACAGGTGGCGAAGATAAAGACACGGCATTCCGAACTTTCTACACATAAGAAAACCAGTCGGACACAATTGAAACTCTGCCTCCCGTCATACTTCTTCGGTGGATCCAACTTCCCCGTTACATACGAGCTGAGTGGCTACCTTCAGCCTATACTACGTCAAAGATCTACTACTTGATACAGCCTATACTCTTCCTCTCGTCCTCTTGCTCCTTGCCACATCCATCGAAGCTCCAACATTTTTAGAAGCAGTTCGTGGAGACTGCCACTTGCTTCTGGTACCGGCCTGAACTACAGGACTTCTACAACTCTAGAGAGGGCATTCGCCATCGATGAAGGATGACATTGAGAAAACTTTAGTGGAAATTGGCACCTTCTTCCAGCACTGGCCCTGGACTACAGGGTTCCTACAATTCAACAGAGGGTTTTCGCCCTCAATGCATGTTGAATTGGAAAAACTTCAGTGGAGACTGTCACTTTCTTCTGGCGCCGTGTAAGACTCCTACATTATCGTCAAGGGTTCCCGCCCCCAATGCATGATGAATTGGAAAAACTTCAATGCAAACTGCCACCTTTTTCTGGCGTCGCGTAGGACTTATACACTTTCGTCGTGGGTTTCCGCCCTCTATGCATAACTTTTGCTACATTCTCTTACATAGAGGGAGACTAGTCTATACACTTGCATGCATATCATTCAACCCCTATAGAGGCTCTTTACCATTGTCAAGATGCTAAACCCTCTTACATTAGAGGAAATGTTTCGGAAAGCGCGCTATCCCATGCTTTGCCCTCCAGGAATTTGATATTATGCTTCAGGCTGAGGCGGTTTTACAAAGTGCTACTACCCTTTTCGTAGATACTCACTCTCGCAACTTTCATTTTGACCGATATGCCCTTAGATATGTACTACATTTGCCTGCCAAGAATGGCAAGAAGACCTATATCATTAAATTTACCCAGACCTACAATACTCCTTGACCGCCTCCACCACCTCTCCCAACCCCTTCACAACAGCCGTTGGCCTGCCCGTCTCGCCTCGCACCAACCCATCCGTCCACCCAGCTCCTCCTCTATCAACCCACGCAGCCTGCATGCCCACGGCCCTAGCACCCACAACATCAAACGGGTTCCCCGACACCAACCACATCTGCCCCATCTCCTCCTTCGTCCTCCCCTTCCCCATCTTCTCCGCAAGATGATGATACACGCGCGGATCCGGCTTGAAGCACTTTACCTGCTCTACGGTAACGATTTCCTTGAAGACACTTGCATGAGGACCCAGGTCGGGAGATGATTGCACAGAGTTAGTGACCATAGAGTTGGTGCCGTTCGAGAAGACGACGGCCGTTATTCCGGTTTCGTCGGCAAGGGCTTTCAAGGCCGGGGATACGTCTGGGAACGTGGAAAGAGAGTCGTAGGCTTTCATCAATTGGCTAGTCGACTTGTCGTCGAGGGAGAGATCGAAGTCTGCCAAAGCGTGGTCAAGGGAGTTGCGGGTGATGTCGGAGAAGGGCTGGTATTGGTCTTGGGACTTATTAGCGGAAGGTCGGAAGCAACGGAAGGTGTTTTTATCGGGCTGGTGTACTCATGCTGTTCAGGCGCCATGTATACTCCAATTGATACCGTCTCCACAATCCCGCGAGACTGGCCGCTTTTTCTTGTCCAAAGTGGGCGGCCAGTTCTTTCGCAATCGACTCAGTGGATAGCAGGGTGCCGTAGAGATCGAAAGCAATGACAGTGTTCACAGCCATTGTGTTCTAGTCCACTCCTTACTTTTTCTTCTTCTTGTTACAACTGCAATTGCTTAAGAGCAGAAGGTTATATTGGCCAAAAACACCGATGTCACCGTTCTGTAATACACCGAAGTTTAACCGACACAGAGATCCTCTAGACAACATGTAAGAAGGATGGATCAGTGCTGACTGCCTGGAAACGACGATGCCAGCCCATGCTCTGGAACGTACGTGAGCAGCAGTAAGCTTTTTTGAGTGCAGTCGAATGATTTCTTACAGAAACAACGACTCAGTTCCCCGGACTGTTCATGCCGGACTCTTCTAGAAAGACGTCCCGGACAATACACCTTATGCAACGAACCCACAATATGAAGGGACTTTTTACCATCCCACGGCAAGCCATCTCCTGATGGCTATCGCTTCGCATCAGTCCAGGCGCTCTCAAGTGCCAATGATCATGGCGAACTCCCCCATGGAACTCCGCACTTTCGTCTTCTGCGGCCTGTTTTCCGCCTATGTGCCAGACCGGAGTGTCACGTTGGATGTTTATTGGCAGGCTTCTCTCTAAAGGTCAGCCGTTGCCTACTGTCAGATCAGGAAGCCCTGAAATCCCTCTGGCTACATACCACGTGGAGATGCATCCTTTATATCGAGCAGCCGGCAGGGGTTCGACAGTCAAGCCGCCCGATAGTCGGACTGGTCCGCCCAGAGGCCTGGATCAGTCCAGAATGAAGCTCTCTATACAGTCTACAGTCGGTCCAAATGCTAGACAATCCAAGAGACTGTGGACTAGTCCAGGCATCGGGCGCCTTGGACCGTTTTGTTTGGACAGAATGTAGGGTGAGGAAGACGTTCAACGCTACCACCACGATACCATGACTGCGAGGCTGGCTTCATGGATGGATTAGAAGAAGGGTGTCGTTACTAATGCTGCGTAACAGGAGGGAAGGCCAACTCTGACTGACGCAGCAAACGGAAGGGGGCGTGGATGGAACGCACGATCGCGCTCACTGTGGATTTCTTGGGTGCTCTGAGCTTTGTCCTGTGTACTTAAGTTGAGGACGAAGAAGATCATATGGACGCTACATGACCACCGCGCAGCGCAGAGGTGAGCCAGTCTTACCGATTTTACTTACAGCGGCCCAGTGTCAAGGATCGCAGACACTAACGAGCGTCTGTTGACGCACATCGACGACTCCCACACGACCAGCGGCGGCCTACAAATACAATAGTATCCAGAATAAGTTCGAAATGACAGATCGATACATGATTGTCAGCGCCTGAGGAGAATTCTGCTCGCTGTGTAGTAGGGCAGTGTCCAGATGGCGCAGGATTGCATCCACGATTCTGGGACTAACGGCGATCAATCTGCCGACGTGACCTGCAGGATTTGGCTGAGTATACGTCTAGTGGCAGTATTCTGCAAACAATAATGGATTCCAACCACTCAGCTCCTTGGGCCGGTGGGCTAGAAGGATGGAAGGATGGAAGATGAGGATACACAGGCTTATGTCACTGAAAGGGTACCGACTATGGGGTACGGAGTGGTTGGAAGCGCTGTCAGCTGGGCTAGTCCAGAAATTGTAGAGGTGAGCCTGCGAGAGCTGAAGAGAGGTAGGTTGGAGAGGCAGTGTGCTTTGGCAGGGGATGGAGGGAATCCATTGAAAGTTTTCAGGGATATTTAGAGGCAAGACCTCGTCATTTCACACATGGATGGCTATCTGCTAGTCAAATGCCTCAAGTATCTCGATGCGCATGGGCTCCGGACCCTCGACTTATATCTATAATTCACCCTTTCGGTAGACTTTCGAATCGGATCCTAATCACAGGTATACCCATGTTGTCATCAACTGACTCCGTCCCCTACTGCAATCCATTCCTCTCGGATGCCCGCGTGCTGTTGCTGTATGCAGGATGAAGGGTCGCCAACTCCTCATCCAACGTACTGTACGTTCCATCTCGTTCACGCCTACTCTTTTGGGAACTTCCCGTTGCCGCGGATTCCGAATACCACAGACCGCTATTTTCACCTCTCGCCCGTAACTGTGGTGTAGCATCGTGGACCTCTCTGGTGAAAAGTTGGAGGACGGGTTGAATAGTTGGTAGGCATGCACAGATGATTTCTTTCGACACTGGACCAAATCATTGAAGCGGTGGCACCATCTGATCATGTGTCATCTAGCGGAGATTATTGAACGGAAATCCAGACCGCAAAAAGTCCAATTCCACCATTCATTACTCACATAAGAAACCGGTAAGACTGACGTTGGCGACAGTGTACGCCCGAGCAACACTTGCCCCGCAGATACTAGGTGGGCGATGAATGTGAGCATACGCATACTGCAGCAATGAGATGTTCAAATAATACATACAAGCCTCCAAGTAGGAAAGTAGCACATAAGCCGACCTTGCGCCTTGCCGAGAGTTGCAGTGTCCAAGCGATGGAGAGTGGTAGCACAAGAATCCAAAACTCGACAGCCACGTTAAAAGCAGAGGTCGAGACGTAGTAGGTATTGTCGTTGTCGCAGTAACGTCCAACGTCAGGTGCACCAACCACCAGCGGATTCCACGTATTATCGATTGTGTTAGAATTTGAGGTATGTGATGTGTAGAACGGACGGATTGATTCTCCAAAACCTCTCCGGGGCCAGGTCCTAAATACAGTACAAAATCAGGTGGCTGGAAAACATGGTGGCTGGGATGCGCGGGGGCCACATTTCAACAGATTGGACGACATCGGAAGATTGCTGGGAGGACCGAAGCGATAAGCCATGCCACGACGAGGGCTTGTGTGGTGTAAAAGAGCTTCCTAAAGCCTTGGCGAGTCCCGGGGGTCCCGAAGAGGCGGAGATAGAAGAAGAGGACTGATATTTTGGTGATACTGAGGATGACGAGGTACGGGAAATTGCCAGCATAGATTACCTTTGAGGAAGGTGAGCATCGTACACCAGAGGGTATACGGGTCTGGAGGTACCTTGAGTAGATTTTCTAACTTGATCAGTGAGACAGAATCGGAATGTCTTCCCGTTCCATTGTGTACCACTGACTTAGATTAGCAAGAATACCGGAGAACGTGGGTGATAAACGCAGTGGACTACTTAGCATGACTCCGGCGTAGTATAAGTAAGAGACCCCTGCTGGTGGTATTGTAAGCAAGCGTAATACTGATATGTGATGCTAATGGGTCAGGCCTACCAAACTGATTGTGATGGATGCATCGCCCCACCATAATCTCGCTGCAGAGAGTCGCCGGGAGATGAGACGTAGAATCACCAGAAGTGAAGAAAGTATGATCAAAGCTACACTGTAATGCATACTGTCGAGCTATGAGGTTGTGTAGTGTCATCAGCGAAGAGGACTCAGGCTTTGACAGACTGCGAGACCCTTTGCTGTGGGCCACTGGAAAGTCGGCCGGAACACTGGCCAATGGTATGCTTTCACTCGGTGATCGGAGCCATACACCAATCAAGCGTTTGACAAATTGCACACCTCAATCGCCATATCAACGAGACGACGAGATACTGCGGTACTTCTAACGCGCATCAGAAAGAGCATCATTCTACGTTAACACCTTGAATGCTCGACTCACCCAATCATACATTGTTTCATATTCAGCCCTACTTGTATATCACTCTCGAAACCTCGTTTAGAGTCTTCGCATTAGGCCTTGTGTCCTACAAGTCAGTTGAGTTCTCGTAGCCATTGGACATGAAGAACTCCACAATCCAGCATATACCCCTAAAACCCTGGGCTAAATTTCTTATGTTGCCAAAGAGTAGTGTACTCGATCTTCTGGCGAGACGTTGCCTCAAATAACCAGACTACTGTTGCCTTTGACCCGTGTTACGCCCTAGTCGCCGGGTCTTCTCTGGACTTGTGCTACTACATGAGTTAAGAATGCGAGGAGTCTTGGTCTCGAGAAGTTGTTGAGGATTTGGCCGGTTGGATCAAGTGATCATGTTCTACTCATGCTCATTCCGAGGAGATAGCTTGCTCGCAGGGGGTTTTGCGAACCTTTTCAAGTCTTGTGAATTGTACGCGCATGGGTATATTCCAAAATTCTCAGTGGCGTTTTTCAAAGGAATAGAGATCCCTACGCTTTGAGAGCTCGTATTGGCCATCCGTGGTTCTTTCAGGCCTTCGTATAACAGTACGGGCTCACTACTCAAGTGTACTGTTGACTATCTACCGTTGATCTCTTGCCCTATTGACAATGTCAGCCTTACATCTCAATTTCTAGCCCGGCTATTCATCCTACTTCACAATCGCAAGGTCCGAGGGAGAACGAGTGAATGTGACGAATTCTGGTATTGACGGAAATCGCAACAATTGCACTGAGTATTCACCCTTCTTCATTGCAGACCTTCGATCAATTCCATTGACTGTTCCTATTGTCAACTTCCAGCCGCCAGCAGGTGACGGGTATAAATATAAGCTGAGTCCTCGTTCTGAACTTCTTTCCTTTCTTCAACAACATCATCCACTGCTCAAACACACATTCCTGCACCACATACATCTACATAACTTCGAGACTCCTCATCTGCTCAACCTTACATTCGCTGGACGAATCCCCACTCACCCCACACCATCCCACACTTTCCCACCAACCTCATCAATCAAGATGCCTCGCACGAAGATGGTCATCACAAAGTCCCGCCCAGCCCTCCGCTCCGCACCGATCCCCGGAGCTGGCGTTGTTCGAAAGTCCAAACGTAAGTCCTCTGATCACCCCTTCATTCTGCAGCACTGCTGACGGGAACACAGACACCATGAACAACAACACCACCATCTTCCGCCTCCTCAAAGTGCCCAAGTACGCCAAGCGTACGGTCGCAACCATGTGCGAGAAGAAGAACGAGACGCTGATGGAGGAGCTCGGCCGGTTGAAGAAGGATTGGATGCAGCAGGAGACGGAGATTGAGTGGTTGAAGAAGGAGTTGGAGAGGGCGAAGGGGGAGTTGAAGGCTATCAAAGGGAGGGATAGCAAGGAGACGGGCTATGAGACGATGCATGGGTGG